AAAATGAAGGATAGGTTAAAATATAGCCAATTGGTTGGACATCAGCATGTGTAGAGTAAATTCTGATGCTGTAAGGGAAAAGGCTCAGATGGAGGAGTAAAATAAATGGTAACCTAGTGATCATGATTGGGCACAGGGAGCTGTGCCTTTCCTCTCCTCCTAGGTGGACAGACTTACTACAACAACCTGCAGGCCTTACTGCTTCTTGCCTACATTGAACATGTTGATGATGAGAACATGAGATCATCTTCTATTTGAATTACCTACAGTGGACCTTTTACTGGCACATCATTTAGCAGTAAATACAAAATACATGTGATACATGTTGCCCAAGTTTACAAATAAAAGCTTAGCTGTCTTAAAAGACTTTTTACTCAGATTTTTATTCGGATAGAAAACTGTATCATTTGGTTTACCTAAATCTTTTAAAATCGTTATCCATAAATGCTGTAGCTGAATTAACAGTTAATATTTACATAAGGAAAAGAGTTCCTTAATAGCTGTTAGGGTATTTAAAGATGTACGCCCCCACCACTGAGGGAAAAAAAACCTCATGTATCATGACAGTCGGGCTTTCCCAAGGTAGCTGAATCTAGAGTTTGTGATTGATTCTTGGTGCAAGGCTGGGATTAAGGGTGTGAGTACTACAACTACCCCAGGGTGGGCAGCCTGCATGCGGCATAAGGGACAGAAAGAAGGTTGTCCCTTCTGTTCTCTCCGGTAGTATTTTCTGTCTCCCATGAACTATTTGCCCCTCTGCCTTGGAGCCAGCATGTTATGGACTAAAACTTCTACAAACTAAAAATAAACCTTTCCTTTAACTTTGCATGTTGGGTATTTTGTCTCCGCAACAAGAGAAAGTAAGACAATGACTGTGAATAATTTGATACATAATAACTAAACTAAATACATATTTAAACTATATTTATAACGATCAGTTTCTTAAAAGGTGTTATTGCATGGCAAAATTATTTAAAATTATTTAAAAATTGTTTGGCTCTGAATCATAATAATTGGAAATATGAAAGAGAACAGCCTCTGAGTTGAAGATTTTGTTTATTATCTAAGGCCCAATTTCAAAATTTTTCCTTCTTGATTTAAAAACAACCAGTTTTTAAATGACTGAGATATAGCCAGAGTCTATCTGAACACCACAGATTTTAAACCTGAAGTTTTTTTTCAAAAGAGGAATATTAATGATAAATATCTTTCAAAACATAAATAATGTGGGCCAGGAGAAGCAGCCAGCCACAACTCCGCATATCCATTGGCCACCATCAAGCACCTTCCTGCCGGTAGCCAGCGTGGGTTGAGAGAAGCAGCAGCCCTAACTCTGCATGTCCATGGCCATCAGGGAGCCTCATTGTAGCCCTAAGGATCTAGAGAAGCCCACCCCCAAACCCCACCACCTCTCTGGGAAATTAGATTCAGAGAACCAGGTACCTGGCACATTCCTCTACACCTTGGATGGGCAGCCAACTTTGGAAGCACTTGGGACCCCACAACCAGCTCATCCAGAGGAGCCTAAGAAAATGTCAAGATAGAGGAGCAAAATAGAATCTCAGACTTTCGGCTCACACAGAACATGTCCAAGAGACAAAGACATGGAAGAAATTGGAAGTTGCACATCTGAAATTTCTGAAATGATGGCAACTGAAGTCCAGAAACTTCATGAGTCTGTGAAAGAAATCAGATCCAAAATAGTATTTCAGGTAAAAGAAGTGGCAACCATAATGAAAGAATTGCCAAACATATCTAAAGACACATTTAAAAAAAGAGTCATGAGATACTGATGGGAACCTTGAATGAACAATATGAGAATTAGAATACATGAAACAGGTTCAAAAACATACCCAGGAAATTAAAAACTCCACTGAAAGCCAGCAGAACCACTTGAACACAACTGAAGATAAACTTTCAGACCTTGAAGACAGGATTGCAGCTAGCAATCACAAAAGGAAATAGTCTTAAAAAAACAAGGAACCAGGAAATAACAATTCAACAATTTTAAGATGACTAAAAAAAACCTTAAGACTAATAGGTGTCAACAAAAAAGCAGGTACTGCTAGTCACATGGCTCTTGATGTGCCCAGGGGCGGGGCAGGGGAAAACTGTGACAGGATAAAGAGATGAAATAGATGAAAGCTGGGGGTAGGTGGAGCCTTCTCTCCTGATGGGAGGAAGAGGAACTACTCCCCCATTTATTTATATATTTAGCAACTTAATGTCCATGATACCCCATTGCCTAGTAATCTGCAACCTAAGGGCTTGATATTTTTTGGGCCTAGAGTCACTTGTTTCTGCAGCTAACCCTGCAGTCTTTATTCCCAGACTCAGCTTGTCTTGCCCCCACAGGTGTGGTCAAACCCCGGTTCATCCATTCTCTAGTGGAAGTCAACACAAATGATATAAAAAGACTATTTACAGAAGTAATAGCAGACAACTTCCCAAGCACAGGAAAAAGACCTGACATGCAGATAAGTAAGTCATACAGAACTCCACCTAGCCATAACCAAAATAAATCTACACCCAGACATATAATGATCAAGATCCCAGAAATTCAGCACAAGAACAATATTAAAAGCTGTTAAAGAGAAAAGAAGCAGATCACCTATAAAGTAAAACCCATCAGAATCACAATAGGCTTCTCAACACAAACCATCAAGTTAAAAAGAGCTTGGAGTGAAGTGTTTTAAAGAAGTGCTGAAAAATTTCCAACCAGATTGATGTACCCTACAAAGCTATCTTTCAAAATTGATGGAAAAATAAGATACTTCCACATTAAAAAACAACTGAAGAAATTCATGACCACCAAATCAACCCTATAGAGAATGCTAAAGTATATTCTAGGGAGAGATAAAGATGACCATGGTTCCAGGAACAGCAACAGAGTGGGAATTGCCAAACAGGGTAGGCAGTTGAACAGAGGGGAAAAATGGAGGGCCAAAGGCAGGAGGATAGCATGGCAGAAATGAGGCAATGTATGCTGGTTGTGACCATTAATGTAGATGGCCTCAATTCACTAATATAAAGAAACGGGCAGAATGGATCAAGAAACAAGATCCGTTAATATGCTGTATACAAGAAACACATTTAACTCAAAAGGAAATTCATAGACTGAAAGTCAAAGGGGAGAAAACAATGCTCCATGTAACACAGAACCAGAAAAAAGCAGGGTAGCTTGCCTATTAACCGCGGAATGGGTAAGAAAGATAAGGTATGTTTATTCAGTGGAAAACTACTCAGCTGGATAGTCTCAAGGCTCTTGTAGGTGAATGGATGCAATTTGATCATGCTCATAGGTGAAATGGTTTGGACTCACAAAGGTGAACATAGTGTTGTCTCTCTGTTTTAAAAAACTGAGAGTTAGTGGGATCCAAAATGTACAATAGATATTGTAAAAGGGGAGGAAATAGCTAAAAAGGTAAGAAACAACTGAGATGGTAGAAAGGATAGAAAGAAAGAAAGAAAGAAAGAAAGAAAGAAAGAAAGAAAGAAAAAAGAAAAGATTTTATGGCCATGTATATGTATCTATATATATACAAAATGGATAATTGCACTACTCATCTGTTTGCCCAACATAAAGAATGGTTTGTGCTTTCATTGATCATTCTTCATACACCTCTGGTAATCCAAACAACTACTTTGAAAACAGTAATATGAAACACATTAAGCATTCTTAATTCCTTAATACTCTGTTTTTTAAATTCTGTATCATCATTTTTACTTTGTTTTTTATTTTAAAATTTTAAAAAAGATAAATAATGATTATAATGATGTCCTGACAAAGAACACTTTTAATTTAATTTGTAGCTTTCTCAGTCTCTGACATGTGGTACTACTGTCAAATGTGCTGTGTGTACTGTGTGCCGTACATCTTTCCCACAACATTCTCAACTAGGGAAATTATATAATCACCAGCATGGGGATGTAAAAGTACAGGATAGAAATGGCCAGCAACTTGATATTACTAGATACAGGCACTGTTTGGGAAAGTAGTAGGTAAGAAAGCTAAGTAGCAGAGTGAATCCAGTTACTAATCAATAGAAGAAACTGGCAGAGAGGAGTTAGTTGCTGAAATTGGCAATGAAAGTCAAAGCTAAGATTTGAAATAGGTATGTGTAATCCAGAGCCCATGCTCTAATAGCCACATAGACTGTCTTTACACTATACACATGGAATCATTTTACTGAAATAAACACTACTTTGATGTTAAAAAAACTGCATGGGTATGGAATTTTTCTATAATTACCATGAAATTCCCTTAAATAAACTATTTTATTTTAATATTTTTTCTAAAACTAACAGTCTTGTGGTAAACAGATTGGAAAATGTTAACACAAAAGAGAAAAAAAGCAAAATAAGTTTCAGTTTTACTATGAAGATATAACAGTTGCATGTTTTTTAAAGCCATATATATGTGGGGGGGTTTTTTTTGTTTGTTTTTTTTGTTTTGTCTTTTTCCTTTTTATCAGTACCGGGGATCGAACTCACGACTGCCTGCTTGCAAGGCAGGCGCTTATGCCACTGAGTTAAATCCCCAGCCCCATATATGTGGGTTTTTTAGCTAATATATCATGAAAGTATTTTCACTTCAAAAATGTAAAATGATAACAGTATCTTTAACTGTGCTAAACTGGAGTTTATTTAGCCATTCTCATTTTAAATCATACCATAGTAAACATCTATCTCAATGCTTCTAAAAAAAATCTTTGAAGCATCTGTGGATTCAAAGATCTGTGCATTCTGAACACTTCAGGTTTTGTTTGTTTTCGTGGTACTGGGGACTGAATTCAGGACCTTGCTCTTGCCAGGCAGACACTGTGCCACTGAGCCATATCCCTGGCCCTTTACCCTTCAGGTTTTATTCAGAAAGTATATTTTGAAGTGTTGGAAATGGTTAATTCCTCATCTTTATCTTAATATTTACTATAGAGTTTTCCTTCCTTAAACTTACAGAGATTTCCAATAACATGATGACCAATTATTTTGTTTTTCAGGAGATGATTTTTCTCTGATTCAACAAGAAATATTTATGGTTAAAGAATGTAAACACTGCAACATCGTTGCCTATTTTGGGAGCTATCTCAGGTAAAAAATAACCAACTAAAAACATCTGCTGTCTTTGTAGTGTAGTTTATATTTTCTTTGTCACTATTCTCGCTTTCTTTTTGTAAATACTATTGCATGTGAGCATTTAAAAATTCCATTGTTCAGAGTTCCAAAATTTCTAAATAATAAAGTAATTACACTATTAATGGCACCTCCATTTATATGGTTGTACTTTATCTAGCAACCTTAATGAAACGCGAATAATTACAAGTAAGCCTTTTAGCTTGCAAAACTGATCATACGCTAAACCATTTAAGATGAGAACAGAATTGAAACTGACGTGCTTTTCTGTATATTGAAGAGAGACTGCTGTGACAGTTTTTTGTGCACTCTCCGGTACATCCTGAACCCAGGCATGCTAAGAGTGAGAGCCTTAAGAGTGCTTATTTTATTGACAGAATTATCAGCTAATACAGTTTTCTTTCTTATTAGTCGAGAAAAACTATGGATTTGTATGGAATACTGTGGTGGCGGATCTCTTCAAGATATTTACCATGGTACTGTTAATTTCACTTTACATTTTAATACCAACATTGACTTTAATGATTGTTGCTTGATATTTCCAACTAATAGGGAAATTAGGAGGTGGATATACTGTGTTACATTCTTTTGTTCTTAGAGTACTGCATAAAATCTATTTTTTTTTTTTGTTAATTCAGTCTGGAAAAATCCAAAAGTATTTGTCCAACTTAAATTATACTTTTTAGATGTAGTCTACAGAAAAATGTTTTAAGTATAAGTGAAACTGTCTAAATGTCCTGTTAAATAAGAATTTAAATTCAACATAAAAAATTGTCTTAAGACAGTTTATGTGCTACTTTAATAATTTTGTATTAAAATAATTTTGTATTAAAATGTATAGTTTTTGTTTGTTTTAGCATAGTGTTTAGAATTCTAGTATAGGCAGTTTTCTGAGTTGATACCGTTTAGGAATGATGTTCATTCCAACTCTACAGTAGGGTTCCAGTCTGTATTGTTGTTGACAGCTTTGTGAATATAAAATTTGTGAAACCGAGTATACACCTTGTATGATAATTTTTCCTTTCCTTGTTTAACAGAGGTAAGATAGTAAAACTCCCATTGCAGCCTTGTATTGTATAATTTACAATTAAGAATTATGAGAAACTAGGCCTAGTGACACACACGTAATCCAAGTACTGTGGAAGACTAATGCAGGAGAACCCAAGTTTGAGCCCAGTCTGGGGAGCCTAGTGAAACTGTCTCCAAAAAAATGAAAGGATTAAGAATGTGGCTTCTTCGAGGTTGAGCATTTGACTAGTATGTACTCGGTTCAGACCCAGGGCGTAGGGGTTGTATGGAGGGGTTATGTGAACTATTTTAAAGACTTCTCTGCTGAAATCTTTATATTAGAAGTTTTATCAAGTTTTAATTACACATTTTACAAAAGTAGCTACAATAGAGTAAAAAAAAGAAATGCTTTTCCACTTTCACATTTTGTAATTTACAGAGGTCACATTTTTAAAATGTCAGAGTAGTGGTTAAATAACCTGCAGTATACCTGTAATAAAGAAATCCTGCCCAGCACTTGAAAAAATGATGTAGCTTCGCATTTATTGACCTGATTATGTATCCTCAAGAAAATGTGTCACATAGTTGCTCATACTAAGATTTCAAAATCATTTTCTTGTCAACCTACATATGATATAAATGCATAGAGAAATGAAAAGGTGTGTACCAGATTGAAAGTGATCACCATAAAGAAAAGAAAAGCCGGACTCAGATACAAAATTCTGAATTATAGTTAAAATGTTGATGCATAACTCATTTATAAATTTAAAATGATGTCGTAACAATCAGTAACAAAATAGTCTTGATCACTGCCTCTATTTTTAAAAATGTACTACATAATACTACAAATATACAAAATGATTTAAACTGTCAAGTTTTTAAAAAGAACTACAGTTTAAAAAAAGGAAAACTCATTTTCATTTCATAACCTTTCATTTTCTGTAGTATTATAAGACTTCACTTATCTGCTGTTGATTGTAATGGTAATTAGTGGTAGAAAATAGCTCTTTGGCACTGATTTAAGGCTTTTTTCAATATAAAGAATTATAACCCTTTAATTGTTTGTATTCAGTTGTAATCTATGCATTCACACTTCTGAATGAAAAATGAAGAGTATAAGTAAACGACAGTTGGCAGTTCTTACTACTTTCCCTTTTAGAGAGTTATTTTGAGACATTCATTTTATTAGTGAAATTTCTACTTTTCGTTATTAAGTTCTGATACTTGTTTACTTAAATTGAATCTAAGAAGTATCCATTCCTATAAATAATATACTAAAATAGTATATTATTAAGATTGTCTACACATATAAATTAGATGCTGTTCATAAAGTGATTTCACTTTTCCTATTACTATTTTACTAATTTACTAAGAATCTATTCCTGAGTATGTGCAAGTAGTAAATAAAATATGTATAAAATGTTTCCATTCAAATATCATGTGTAAGTATCTGCATTTCACTGTTAAAAGAAAGACACCACCTCAGAATTTTTCTGATCATACTGAAAGGAATAGTTCCAAAACTTCTGATTAGTATTTGCATAGTAAGGGTTTTATATTTCATGTCTGGGAGAGGGCTGGTTGTCCAGAAGTGATCTAGGACTTTTCAAATTATTTAATAATATATTGAATCAGGCCTCCTTATCTTAATGTGTATGGTAAAGAATTACACTGAAGAGATAATATGTTGACTTTTTTAAAAGATGTGATTTTTTTCATTATATTTCATTATTTTCTCTATGTCTGTATAACTATAATTAGTTATATATGTTTATCTAGTTTCTTGGCCTTATTTCTGAAAAACTGTTTGGTATTATCAGCATGTCATGTCCATTGCTTTCTGTAGAATTTCCTGTTGGTGCTTAGTACTTAAGCCATGTATATGGCAGTATTAGAAATTTTGACTGATCAAACTTATTAAAGAGTAAGTCTTATTTGGGGGTGATACACAACCTTACATTTACTAGGCAGGTACGTATGCCACTAAGCTATGTCCCTGGCCCCAGTAAATCCTAAAGTACACATTTAAATTCTCAAAAATGTTACTTTTTTTAATCTGTTAGGTTCAAAGGTATAACAGTCTCTTTTTTTCCTAGTTACTGGACCATTATCAGAATTACAAATAGCCTATGTGTGCAGAGAAACTTTACAGGTAACTATATTTGCATATGTAGACAGACAATTCTCATTTCACAATTGATAACTGTAAAATGATGGCCCTCCAAAAGAGAAAGGGTAAGCCAAAATTATTTTTCTGTTAATCCCTCATACTATAATTCTGTAAGCTGGTTATTTTTCTTCATGAATGAATCACAAGAATTCTTTAAGCTGATGCTGATAGCACACAGTGATGGAATGTGGTGGTGGCCCTTTGATACTGACATGTCTAGGGATCTTATGAGATGGTCAGCTTTGTGGCACTTGGCCTTTAGTTGCTACAAAGCTAAAGAAAGATGTAAATTGGTTTTCGTGAGTGAATCGTAAGATCTCCTAATGTAACAAGTTGGCTGGGCTTTGTTTTAAGGCAGAAGAAGTAATCTCTTACATACACATGAGGGCCTTTACCATTTCTGCCCTCCAAAGAAAAATTGCACGGCAGTAGCCCAGAGTGTTACCTGGAATTTCTAACTGTGAAATGAACATGTAATGATAGCAGAACCTCTTTTTATAACTTTGGTTAACAGTTTTATTAAACAAATGTCTTTGTTGCTTTGCATATGGCCTGTGAGAATTTTTAGTATACAAAACCAGGTCTTCAATATAAGTGTAGGATATGTGCTATTTTCGCAAATTTCTTTTGTTTTTTAGTCCCCTCAAAGGGTACTTATTGAGCAAATTAGCAGTTAACAATTTTGTTCATATATTTTAAAGCATTTAAATGAGGTGACATTACATGGTAATAATTGTGGGCTTTTGTTTCTAGTGGCTGTTTTTTGGTAATATACAATTGTTAATTGTTAACTGTTAATTCTGTGTACTTCCTAGTTATATAGGGTTTTTTTGTTTTGGTTTGGTTTTTTGGAGTGTTTTGGTTTGGTTTGGTTTGGTTTGGTTTTTGGTACCAGGGATCGAACTTACAACTGTGTGCTTGCAAGGCAGGTGCTTATGCTTCTGAGCTAAATACCCAGCTATAGTTTCTTTAGAGGTGAAACTCATGTCTATAATTGATTCTCACATATTGTGGAAACTAGAAGATTGATCAGATCTAATAGAAAGTTCTGGTCATTTTAATCAAGTTTCATTTCCATTTACCTTAAAAGACATATGCCAAATCTCACTGTGAAATAAAAGCAAATCCTCTAATATCTATGTATACTTTGTGTTATGTATGGTCATGTCCATGGGTTATTATTACCAGGACCCCCACAGATAACAGAATCTGTGGATGCTCAAGTTCTTTATGTAAGATAGCATTATATTTACACATGACTTATTTATACTCTCCTGTATGCTTTATGTCATCTCTAGATTACTTACAGTAGTACAGTGTAAACATTGTGTAAATCCTTGTGTCTTTGAAGGGGAACAAAGAAAAAAGTCTATACAAACAAGAGTTTATTTTTTAAATATTTTCAATTCATGATTGTTTAAATCCATGCATATAGAAACTACAGAGGGCTGGCTACATGTATTTTCAGATATATCTTTCTATAATATTTATACAATGTAGAAATGTATATAAGATATAAACTTAATTATGTGCTCATGGCAGAGAGTTAATGACAAATTTATTTTCTTTATATTTAAATTTGCAAAGTTCACTGTTTCTTTAAACAGTGGACAGAATATGGGTATCGTGTACGCTTCCATGAATGTGAAAAAATACCTTGGATTTATACTCTGACCCTAGAGTATGACCTTAGTTTCTCATATGGTTCTAGTAAAAGTGAGGCTTTGTAAAGGACAACCTCCAAGATTAGTTCAATCTTTAAATTCTGTCATTCTAACAGACTTCCATGTCTTGTCCATACAGAGTTACAGGGATATTATTTACCATGGTACATGAAATAAAATAGGTAAAAATACTTGAAACCGTGGTTTTCAATAAACTGGACATCAGGTTATGGACAGCAAGGTCTAAGAGCTAGGAAATGAAGGAAAGTTTTATTGTCTCAGTTTATGGTCAAGGGAAAGTTTCCAAGCCATGGTACAGGGAGGAAGAAACCAAGGTATGCCCAGGGAGACCACGGTAGCTAGAGTATTCAGGATAGAGTGTTGGAAAGTTTTTTTTTTTTTTTTAATCCAAAATATACAATACCCAAAAGAGTACAGTTCATAATGTGAGGCAGCCGATCAAAAAGTACCACGTATTGCTAGGCATGGTGGTACACACCTATAGTCTCAGCACTTAGAAGGCTGAGACAGGAGAATCCCTGTGAATTGACCAGCCTGAGCTATATAGTGAATTCAAGACGAACCTGAACTACAGCGCAAGACCTTGTCTCCAAAAAATGGATAGAAAATTTAAAAAATTAGGAGAGTAGGATAACAAAAACAGTTATAACTACACTTGAAATGTTTAACAAGTTAAGTGGAGGTATGGAAGATATTAAAGGCCCAAATCAAGCTTTGGAGATCAAAATTCACAATGTGTGATAGAATTAATGGCTGAGTGTGTGTGTGTGTGTGTGTGTGTGTGTGTAATTTTTGTGTGAAACGTATATCAGTAGAAAATACATCCAAATTAAATAAAATGAATTTTCTAAAAACATAAACTGATAGCACATACTTGTATTCCCAGCTACTCAATAGGCAGAGGCAGATGGATCACTTGAATCCAGGGGCTTGAGGTCACCTTAGGCAACATAATAAGACTTAGACTCAAAACAGTTTTTGAAAATCACTAAGCTATAGAACAATTTCATATGGCCTAATGTATATAATTTGTATTCCTAAAGGATAAGAAAGAAAAGAGATAGCAGTGTTTTAAAAATATAAATAATAACTGAAAAAAATCCAGATTTAATAAAAACTATCACACAGATTCAGAACATGCAACAGAGTCTGTGTTCAGAGAACATGATGAAAACCACACGGACACACATTGTTGTTAAATTGTCTCATTTGATGATGAGACAGTCTTAGAAACTGAAGAAAGGAGCACTTATATACAAGATAATAAAGGAAACAATTGTGGCATATTTATTATTGGAAATAGTGTAAATTAGGAGGCAGTGAAAAAGCTGAACTTTCCCTTTAAGTTTAGAGAAAATGTCTTTCGGAAACAAAGACAAAACAAATGGGTTTTGCGGAGTTAAAAACTAACCTTCTGCAGACCCATCCTTCAGAAGTATTTGTGGAAATCCTCCAAGCCTCCAAGCAGGGTTAAAGTGACATCACAAGAAAATATATATACATTCAAAAATATGGAGTGTATTTTTACCCACAGTAACCACTTGGTCAAATATGTAAGTAAAAATACAGGGTTTTTTTTTTTAAATTAGGTGTCTATTTTAGTGATTTTAAAAGCAAAACTACAGAGCCGAGCATGGTGGCATACGCCTGTAATCCCGGCACTTGGTAGGCTGAGGCAGGAGGATTGTTGTGAGTTCAAGTGCAGTCTGGGCTCCAAAGTGAGTTCAAAACCAGCCTGAACTGCATAGTGAAACCCTGTCTCAAAAAGCAATTCAAAAAAAATAAAAACAAAACTTACAGTGTATTGAATTTAAATATATGTATAAACAGTATAAAAATAATAGCATGTAGACCAAGAGGGGAGATGGAAGCATACTTTTATAGATTCTGATACTATAGCAAATTGGTATAATAACATTTGAAGGTAATTATACCTAGAATTATACAAGCTATACAACAATAAGTAGATTTGAACAAAAATTTTGAAAATAAGTTAGCAAAGATAATCCAACAATATGCGATAACATAGAAAGTGGAATTTGTCCAAGAGTTCGTTGTTTACTGAATATCCAAATCATTCCAAGGAAAATTCAACGCTGCTAATTTTTAAAAATTCCAGGCACACAAGAACTAGAAAGAAACTTGATAGGCTAGGGATTTAGCTCAGTGGCATAAGGGCCTGCCTAGCAAGCGCAAGGTCATGAGTTCAATCCTGGGTACCGCAAAAAAAAAAAAGAAAGAAAAAGAAACTTGATTAACTCAGTAAAGAGCATCTATGAAAAACCTGCAACTAAATCATACTTCAAAGGCTGGCAAAATGCATTTCTCCCGAGAGCAAACAAGGCAAGGATGTCCACTCTTAACGACTGCTTTTCAACATTGTATTAGAGGTTTAAGCTGTTACAAAAAGAGAAAACAGTGAAATAAAAGCTATGGAGTTTTAAAGGTAGAGGATAAAATTCTTTATTTACAGGATTACAAAATTACATAGAAAATGAAATGGCCTGTAAAGTAGCTACCAGAACTATTAAGCAAGGTTACAAAAGTTGTAAGATTAAAGATCTGTCCATATACAAAAGTCAGTTGGGTTTTTTGCAAACTTGTCAACAGAATCAGAAATAAAAGTTTTAAGTGAATATGTATAAAAACATAAATAATCTGCCATTCTTAGGGTTAAATTGAACAGAAGGTTCCCAAATAACTGCATACTAAAAACTACTGAAAGAAATTAAAGACCTAAATGAGTAAATGGATAACTATGTCATGTTCATAGATAAAGAGACTCAAGACTGTTAAGATGTTAATTCTCCCCAAATTGCATCCAAAATCCAAGCAGGCTTTTTGTTTTTCTTTTATTAAGGAAGTGACAGACTGATTCTAAAATTCCTATAGAAATGCCAGAGTATAATATATATAAAACACCTACTGGTCAAACAAACTTGAAAATTGGTATAGTGTGACAGAGCTGTTTGCTGGAAAGAAGAGAGAAATTGTAAAGAGGCACAAGAGAAGGGAATTTTGTGAGAGTGATAATAAATATGTTTATTATCTTGATTGTGGTGATGTTTTAGTAAAATATTGCTTTCATCAGAAAATGATTTAGAATTATCTATGATACAGTATATATTGATTAGTAAAATGAAACTCTTCAAAATTTTGTCACCCCTAGAGAAAACATTCTAGTATTATGCAATATGAGTTTAAGTAGAGGATTTGGGAGTTTTGCTAATGAATACCTTTTTTTTTTTTTTTTTTTTAACTTCAGGGCCTTGCTTATTTGCATACCAAAGGCAAAATGCATAGAGATATCAAAGTAAGTTCATTTACTATGTTTAAATTGCTAATTGTTTTAGAAGACAATTTATGGTACTAATTTAATAGTATTGGTATTTTTGTTTTAGGGTGCAAATATTTTATTGACAGACCATGGTGATGTAAAATTAGGTATGTTGTTAAGTTCTTTAAAAAAAACTAATAGAATTCTAAGTTAAAATTAACGAATACACAAATTTAATATTGATACAGAATCATATGTTTGTTATTTGACACAGAAAGTTTGTTCCTGAGACTCAATTAAAGGAAATTAATTTTAAGATGGAAAATACAGACTCAAAAAAGTATTGACTTTTTTTATAGTAAAAACAATAGAAAAATAAAAAACTTAAACTATGGTATCTTACTTGTATCATGTAAGTTATTAATAATAATGAATATGTGGGAATAAAATCATCTGTTGTATTAACTGGCAAAAATGAGCTATATATAAACGTACTATTTTATTTTTATTAGCATATTTAACAACACTCAAAAGTTTACAGATATAAAAGGATGTTTTAAAAAATAGCATCAGAATGCTTTGTTGTGTTAATGATCAATGGAATTTGATACATGGTTGTTTTTTTGTTTTGGGGGGTTTTTTTTGGTACCAGGGATTGAACTCACAACCTTGTGCTTGCCAGACAGGCGCTTACACCACTGCGCTAAATCCCTGGCCCCTGATACATGTTTTTTCTTGTGTTTTATTTTTGCTTTTGTCTTTCCAAATTAACTTTAATGTACTTAACGATAAAACCATTTTTAGTAACTTTGTTCTTAAAAAATGTTTTCATTTTAGTGAAATTTTAGTAAATTCTTTAATGAGTGTGTTATGAACCTAGCAAGAAGAGATTTAGAGATTGAATTTATGCACATTTTCCTGACATTAATATCCAGATTATTGAAAATGTTAGGCCTAAGGGTGAAATTTAGAATTGTATTGAGAACTAAAAATTTTTGTCCCCTTTTTTTTTTTCCTTGCCAGCTGATTTTGGTGTGGCTGCAAAAATAACAGCTACCATTGCAAAGAGAAAATCGTTCATTGGCACTCCTTATTGGTAAGACATTAGTGTGACTGACTTTGGTAGATTTTAACTTCTTCATGGTTAGTAATCAACCTTGATACAAGTAGTCATTGAAAGGTAGGAGACATGGGGGGGGACTTTGATACTCTTGTTTTTATTATCCAGCTTCCCTATGTTAAGGTGCTAATAATTTCTTTTGCTGTTCCTAGGATGTCTCATTGAGAGGACCAATAGGTGTGAAATTTTCAAAAGAAAGACTTGTATTACCTCTTGTCATTTTTTCGCCCTTTGCTCTGGCATTTCATTTGACTTAATCTACAACTTTACTTTCTGGCTGTGAAAATTCATAGATCCTTCCTACCATTAGCCTACACCAGCTACCCCAGTAGCTGCCATAATTAAGTCTTTCAGTAGGTTTGTGTCATTTTCATGAAAAAGTCTAAACTTTCTTGTGTAATTAGTAGGCCATCATAATCTAGCCTCTACTTCTGAGATTCATTTTCCAAACACTTTCTGGATCGTCAAGCCATATTCTGTGAAGGATAATTTTTCCATTTCTTGTCTATCAGAAAATTAGACTTTTATAAAATAAAAATTACTTGCTAAAAGTTTACGTTGCATTTAGATAAGAGAGAATGCAAGCCTTATTTTTGTACTCATCACGAACTGATAATCAGTAGTTATAGATGGTCCTGTGGATTTTTTTTCCAAGATCTTTCCACTCAGCAGCATCCCCAGCCCTCCTGCCCCTTTGTAAAATTTTGAGACAGAGTCTTATTAAGTTGTCCAGGTTGGCCTCAAACTTACAGTCTTCTTGCTTCAGCCTCCAAAAGTTCTGGATTATAGGAGTATGCCACCATGTCCAGTTTGTTGGGGAGTTTTTTGTTTGTTTGGATTTTTGGGGGCACCAGGGATTGAACTCATGACTTTCCACTTGCCAGACAGGCACTTGTGCCGCTGAGCTATTCCCCTGGCCCCTTGTTCATTCTTTCTTTAAGTCTCATTTCTGTTGGGAAGTTTCTTGTACTTTTGCAGGGTTTTAGATGTTGTTTTTCACTTCCCGTATTATACAGCAAGGTTAACTTAACACAAACTAAATCAAGACAGAGTTTTTCTCAGAGTCCTAGTATTCAGATTAGCAAATTCAAGAGTTTTTAAATAATCAGTTTTAAAAGAATTTGTTTGTGGATGCAGTATTTCTTTCCTGATAAGGTTTCTGCTTCATCCATAAGCACCTCTCAACCTCTTTCCCTCCAAGTCTAATGACTATACCAAGAGTGACAGATTTCCTATCATTTTTTTAAAATAATGTGTTCCATTCATTAATCCCTTCTAGGATGGCCCCAGAAGTTGCAGCAGTGGAGAAGAATGGCGGCTACAACCAGCTCTGCGATATCTGGGCAGTGGGAATAACAGCAATTGAACTTGGAGAGCTTCAGCCACCGATGTTTGACCTTCACCCAATGAGGTACTCTCACTATTAATACTGCACAGTTACTAGTAAGTTATTTGGGGGAAGTAAAATTCTGGTTCATCTAGCATTAAGTATGTCACAGTGGTGGACAAGTTGTGGGGAGCTCAAAGGTGATCTCTTCCAAGCCTGCATGTTGGTGTTGCTGCTCCTCAGACAGCAGCGAGTTGTCTGGATTGTTTGAAGCTTTTCTGTGGGACACATTAGCCTAACAATCAGACAGGGATAGAGCAGTTACTGTTAAACAGGTCTGTCTGGTTTTGATCCTGTATTAGTTGCTCGTTTGTCCTACATGGATTAATAAGTAAATAATAGGATTAATGAGGTTTTTTTGTTTGTTTGGGTTTTTAACGATGGTTTTGGGTTTGGGTTTTTAGTTTGTTTGTTTCTTTTAGTTTAGTTTTTTAGTTTAGTTTGTTTGAAGATAATGAAGGAAGTGCCTATGCTTAGCATGATAATCATTTACATTTTAAGATCCTGCTTTTCAAAATAAATATTTCAGGGCTTTCTGAAACTTTTTTTAGTTTTTGAGGGGAAAACATGTATAAGTTATTTATGTGCAAGTATCAGACACTAAAGAAACATGGAAAACTAAAAATACTCAAATTATAAGATACCTGTTGTTAATGCTAATAGGTGCAGACTTATAGGAAAATAATTTTATATTTTTGTTAAGGGCATGCAGTTGCCTTGGTGACTCTACCACTTAGGAAGTTATGCTTAAATAATCCAAGAAGAAAACTAAGAATTACTCATTTTAGGATAACAGGGGAAAAAAATCTAAGTATTGAATACTTGAGTTGTTAAATTATTTTGCAGTTAGGGTTAGCTGAAACCTGTGTATAAACCAAAGGAACATAGAAAATTGATTAGTAATGGAAAAACAGTATAATATTACATAAAATTGTATTATAATTATAAATATTTAAAAAATACTAATAAGGAGCAACAATTTTTAAGAACTATTGCAGGGTAGAAAAAATAACTTTTTGGCCTCTTTTGATTTTCCTTTGAGTCATTTTCTTTTTAAAAAGAGAAAGTATCTTTCAATTTATGGATTGCCCTTGTTTCTTAGTTAACATAAGTTTCTTGGTATGTTTAAAAAAAGGTAAATTTGCTTAGAAACTTAGGAGGAATTTCATAGAAAATACTGAAATAAAACATTTTAGAAGCTCCTTCTTAACTCCCAACGTCTTAAATTTTCCATTTAAATCTACCAGTGAGAGTATATGAGAAATTATTGTCCATATAAAGGAAACAGATCTGGAAATGTATTATCATTTGCCTATGTACTGAAAATAATATTAGAGGCTAATCTTTGATTAAACATATAACCTGATGTTAAAGTAGCATAGTATCTCCCATGTTTCATAATCACAATTTAAATCAATGTGTGCTTAATATATGCTATTAGTTATATGTGTAACAGAAGTAATAAAACTCTTCTGTAATATTTGGTAGGTTTTTTTTTTTTGTACCAGGGATCAAACTCATGACTTCGCACTTGCCAGGCAGGCGCTTTAGCCACTGAGCTAAATCCCGGGCCCTTGGTAGCTTTTTTGTCAATAAGGGCTTGTTTGAAATTTAAGTATCTTCTTTCTAGACAAGAGAAACTTTCCACAATTTACCCAAAATATAAAAAGTTTAGTTTCTACATCGTAAAGCATTTTTTCTTCAGTGTGTACATATGTGGTCATCTTGTGTAAGTTTGTTACAAAATATTCATTCTGATTATTAGATATAGTAATAAAGCTATTTTAATATTGTCCTTCAACTGACATTTCTGTTTTAGGGCTCTCTTCTTAATGTCAAAAAGTAATTTTCAGCCTCCAAAACTAAAGGACAAAACAAAATGGTGAGTTAAAGAACATATGGTTTTGTAAAATATTTATGGTTGAAAGGGACATAGATTCTGTTCCTTTAGAGAGGGGAAGTAATGGAAATTAAACTGAGGGCCAGTACCCTGAGCTACGTCCCCAGCCCTTTTATATTTTTATTTTGAGACAGGGTCTCAATAAGTTGCCCAGGTGGATTTCAAACTTAAAGTCCTCCTGCCTCAGCCTCCCAGAGTACTCAAAGTTACAAAAATGTACCACTACATCGTTTCCTTTTTTAAAAAATACATGTTGAAACCAAAGTCCAAAGGTATTTGGCAATTTGCCCAAAGTTATATAGTCAGTATATTTGCAAAGTTATGACATGGCCTAGGTTTATTTTCTTTTATAACCCACTACTCTTAATAAAACTCATTTTCATGGTAGCAGTTTAGGTAGCAGTGTGATGAGAAAAGGCTTTAAAATAAATATATGAAGATTTTGGAAGTTTGTTTTTGCCCTATATTTCTTTACATCCATTTACACATTGACTTGCTTCTTTTTTTTTCTTTTTATTGGTACCGGGGATCAAACTCACAACCACCTGCTTGCAAGGCAGATGCTTATGCCGCTGAGCTAAATTCCCAGTACCCACATTGACTTTCATGGATGGTTTTCATGAAAAGTTTCTGTGACACTTAAAATCAGTCTGTTATTAGGTTTTTTTTTATTTTCCTTCCAGTGAAAAGTGTTATTTTTCATTCTAATCTCTTCTTTCTCATGAAAGTAAAGTAGTTTGCCTTAATTTCATCATGTAGATTACATGGATCTTTTAAGTGTCCATGAACTCCAGATCCTATATGTATACAATCGTAGCTTATTTCAGATTCTAAAAGAGCCTTTCCCCCAGCTAGATTCTAAACTGCTTCATGGGTCATAACCTGTGTGAGCACAGCTTCATGTGGAGCCAGGTGCTTTTGGGATGCTGGCAGTAATGAAAGACAAATTGTGCAGTGAAAATAAGGGAGTTTATGTGGTATTGTTCTTTATACTTTTTGGCTTTGACACCGGTTTCTTCCTATTTGCCCAAAGTTCTTAGCCATCTGGAACTAGAGGACTTTATGACAGGAATGACTGGAACAAATTCATTCAGGAAAAAATGACTTAAACTCAATAGTCAGGATTCCAGAGCAGTCATTACCACTGGAGAATCCTTACCAGTCTTTGATACTGACTCCATACTCTCTGTTGCCACAAGCCACCACTGCAACGCAGTGATTACATTTTTCTGCTGAAAGGTGCCATGTTGCTACCACTGCTAATGATCCTAAAGGTTATTTAGTGTCTTTGTTTCTGGTCCAGTGTCTCCCACAGCAGAATCTTGGCAGTGATGGAAATATCCCTCTTTATCACTAATACGTTCCTCCTGGTAGTACAAATGAATCTAATCACTTTTATCAGTCTTACTAATGCAATCAATAAAAAGTATTAATTAGCTGAATCTAATTAGTTGCTTGAATTCAAGTAATTACTGGCCAAATAGAAATATTAATACTATTCATATCAATTTATAAAATTATTACAACAAATTTATTTCATTAAGAGATTTATATTCATGAATAGTTAATTTTTTGAATTTTAATATGGATATTTGGAAAATTATTTAATATCAGTAATCAATTTTCTAAATTTTAATATGGAAATCTTGTAAGTACCCCATTGCTGGTGTATATAAAAGGCACTTACAAGTGCTGTGCCACAAATCAGCTGTACTACAATTTTTTATACCATTTTAATGTCGTCCTTTAGAAACTGTAATATGATGGCATGTGGTCGCTAGGTCAGTGCCTTTCTCTGAATTATTGTAATCAAAGACCACCTGAGAAGCAGTATAAGTGGGAAGCCAGCACCATGATCAAATTCAGTCAGAACTGCCTGCCAGTGAGACGTATAAGTTGCAGCACTGTTGTGAACTTGTTAATAATTAAAACATGAACTTTTTAATTTGTACCTTTTTGCATTGTCCACTTTCCCATGCAGGAAGCAGGAAAATCCTTCTGACTGCTAAAATCACTTTCGTCTTCTTTGTCCTTCTCCCCAGTACATTGCCCTCTACTCTTCAAGCTGTGGCTTTTTTAGTAGTGAAGTTAAGACTAGGACATTTTGACATCTAAGTACGATAGAACCTAGAAAACATTATAAACTACATGGTACAGCCTATCCACTTCTTAAGTTTTAGTGTAACTGTTCTGTCACCTGATTGCATTTCATTTAAAGGGTGAAACTAACCCAGATGTTTCCAAGAGTATGGTGTACTTTGAGTTTAATTATTTTGGCTCATGTGGAACTAATAAGCATCATGTAAAAAAAAAAAATCACAAGGAGCTGGGGATTTAGCTCAGCAGCATAAGCGCCTGCCTTGTAAGCAGGGAGTTGTGAGTTCGATCCCCGGTACCGATAAAAAGGAAAAAGACCAAAAAAAATACATTTCAGAATTTCTAAGTCGCCTAAGTTAATTTTATTTAGTAACACCAAAACAATAACATTAGTGAAATATTTTTATACATGTCTCTTTATTTTAAGGTCATCAGTATTCCATAATTTTGTCAAAATAGCACTAACTAAAAACCCAAAGAAAAGACCAACTGCCGAAAGACTTCTGACTGTAAGTCATTGGAATTGAAGAAGAATTTTCTGTAGTTATGTAGTAATTAGGAATCACTGGAATAAAAATATTTAGATTTTTAATATAAAAATATTAATAGTCTCTTATAGTAGTGGGTCAGCAAGTTTTCTCTAAGGGGCCAAATTATAAGTATTTCAGACTTTGTTACCTGTACTCAATTTTGCTCTGCCACTGCAGTGTGATATAGCCATGGACAGTATACATGACATGTGTGTAGTTTTTAATACCCAGTAAAGCTTTAGGTACAGAAAAGAGGTAGTGTTCCAGATTTGGCCCCTGAACTGAGTTTGTTTTTCTCTGCCTTAAACACTTAAAAATGTCTTTTTCATCTAAAATTAATTGCTTTTCTTAGCTACTTTCATAAATTTATAATGTGCTTTGGATGTTTATGTAAAAATTTGCATGAGAAAAAAATCGGTGTTTAAACGTAAGAATAGCTTACAGTATAACTGAATTATATGTAAATATAGAATAGTATGCTTTTTTCTGATTGTGATTATGCATAATATTAGCAAATCACTAATGGCACAAATAATGAACATCATTGGTGTCAGTGAAGTTATAACTTACAATCTAATAGAGATCTGATAAGCAGTTATTCATTTTTTAAACTTACCTTAAAATATAATGGTTACGTTAATCTATAAGAATTTATTGATTAATATTTTTACTAATACATTGTCAGTTTATTTTACTAGTGGACTTTTATGCATGTTTTTGTTACTGAAAACAATACAAATAGCATTTTCTTTAAGTAGTAGATGTAAAGGCATACTCATGAAATTTTATTTCGTTTCATTTTTACTTAGCATACTTTTGTTGGACAGCCAGGTCTCTCAAGGGCCCTAGCAGTTGAACTGTTGGACAAAGTAAATAACCCGGACAACCATACACATTACACTGAAGGAGATGATGATGATTTTGAGGTAAGGGAGTATTTGCACCCTAATATTTGAAAACATATTTAAATTTAGTTAAGTTTAAGTTCAAATACATTGTAAACTACACTTATTCTGTATATGATTACCAGTTGATACATTAAGTTACAAAATTTTAGTACGTTTTAGGTGTACATAATAATCACATTCATCATAGGGAATTTGCACCTGTTCATGATACATCTTGACTCTTTTTTTCCCATTTTCCTACTCTCTCTTCAACCCCTCTTCCCCTCCTTTTTTTTACTAAAGCTTTGTTTCCATGTTTCCCTTGTTTTCACTGGAAGAAATATAACCTTTAATAAGTGATGCTAGAAAAACTGGCTTTTAGGGCCAGGGAGTTCGCTCAGTGGCGTAAGCACCTACTTGGCAAGCATAAGGTCATGAGTTCCATCCCTGGTGCCAAAAAAAAAAAGAAGAAAAACAAAAACTGGCTTTCCATCTTTGCAAGATTAAAACTTGACCTATGTCTTTAACATATACTAAATTAAAATTAAAGTGAATCAAAGATCTAAATATTACAACAGAAACACTACATCTGCTGGAAGATAGAATAGGTAGAACTCTTGAAGAGACTAAGTATACATAAAAACTTTTTGAACAAAACCCCCATCACTCAGGAACTGTCACAAAGAATCAACAACCTGGAGTTAATCTTATTAAAATCTTTTGTACAGCAAGAGAAACCACCAACGAAGTGAAGAGACAACCTACAGAGTGGGAAAAATTTTTTCAGGCTGTTTCTCAAAGGACTACTATCTAGAATATATAAAGAACTCAAAAATATCAGGACAGCCCCCCACCCACCATACGCAAATTTAAAGACCCATTGTTTTTTTTTTTTTTTTTAATCAGTACCAGAGATCGAACTCAAGACCGCCTACTTGCAAGGCAGGTGCTTACGCCGCTGAGCTAAATCCCCAGCCCCATTTTTTTTTATTTGTTTGGTTTTTTTTTATGAATACACTTCTCAGATGAAGTATAAATAACAACTAAATATATCAAAAAATGTTCAACATCACTAGTCATTCAAGAGATGCAAATTAAAACAACACTTGAGATTCCATCTCACTTCCAAAAGCAAACAATAACAAATGCAGGCTGGTCTGTGGGAAAAAAGAAACTTCTCCACTGTTGGTGGGTGTGTGATAAGTGTGGAAATTCCTCAAAAAACCAAAACTAGAGGTTCCATTTAACCCAGCTATTCCCTTATTGGTATCTTTCTGAAAGAATTAAATGCGTCATACCACAGCAATATATATGCACTCATGTTTACAGCAGCAAATTTTGTAGTAGCTAAATCAGCCCAAATGCCCATCAGCCAATGACTGGGTAAAGAAGATGTGGGGTTTTTGGTGTTGTTGTTTATGTAATGTAGAACTACTCCGCCATGAAGAAGAATAAACTTGAGACATATCTAGCTAAATGGATGCACCTACCATACTCTTACATGACATAAATCAGACAAACACGTTTAAGTACCACAGTGCTTCTCTGATCTGAGAAAACAAAAGTGTAAACAAGGACCAAAGTGTATAATAGATATTGTGAAATAGAACCATTAACTAAGATAGGAACAGTAAAGTGAAATCAGTTTGGAAAGAAAGATGAGTTCAGTTTCATGCTGAACGAGTTGTTGCATAAGACTTTGAAGTGGGGAAGCCTAGTAAGGAGCAGGGTAGGTTGTAGCCTGGGAAGAAAAGGATGTAGTACAAATACAGGTGTGAGAGCTACAGGATACAGGTGTAGTTGTGCTTTAAAGAATAGTCCCAAGGGAAACATGGTAAGTGGCCAAAAAAAGCTTGGGACAGAACTCAGATTTCTCTCAAATTTTAAAAATCAAGTTGGTGGAAGAGATTGATAAAGGGCACTGTGGCAGGGAGAATTTCAGTAATAATATTTCCTACGAGTTGAAGAAGTCTTTGGCTTTAGATGGCAATATATAGTGCTCAATGCTTTTAACAAGGATAATTTGCAAACAGTGAAGGGAAGCTAGATTGGAGGAATTTGAAAGATAAGCACAGTAGTTTATTTAGTGTGATGGAATGAGTGGCACAGATGAGTAGCTGGGGAGAGTGAGTTAGAGAGGGATGTTTCCATCGATGGACTGTTTGATATGAGGAGAAAGAAAAGGAATGAAGAGTGCATTGATGTGAGAAGCTGTTAAATCCAGAACTGCGGGCCCACATCATCACCTTCAGAAATCTCTTGCTATGATGGCGGGTTTTCAAATAGAAAAAAATCATACAATCCACTTTCAGAGCTATCAGTGAATAGAATAAGTCATTTATAAGAAATCTGGGAGGTGGAGGTGAGCCTCACTTCTGTGAGATAGGTGAAGCCTAACTTCAAAGAAGCAGGAGCTCTTACAAGAAGATGAACTGGATGAGCTTCCAAGCGCCTTAACAGTATTGTGAATCTCCCTGGATCCGGTGTTGGCCTCCTCCGTACTCTCTGATACTCACGAGGTTACCCTTCAAGCTGGCTCTGATGATGGTGTTCCCTTGCTATAAAAATCTCCTAAGTCAAGAGCCTTGCCTGACACTCAAGGCCTTTCTTGATTGGTTCAACGCCAGTCTTGTCTTTCCAGCCTAGCCATATTTTCATGTAACCTTCACTGCCGCCGGATAACAACCAACCCTACTCTTTTTAGAATACTCCACAGTTTCCTTTTCTTTCTTGCATCACTTTATGTTTCTTCCGTACCCTCATTTCTTCCACACTGCTGTGTGTCAACTCCTACTTGTACTTCAGAGCCCCAAATGAGGTTGCAGTTTTTTCATGCAGAACTTGTCTGCTGTTTAAGGTCGGTGTATAAGCCAGTTCCACCTCCACTGCTCTTCAGTAGTAATCCATTTATCTTCTTAATAAAGGAGACTTATCATTGTCTAATTTTATAATTATTTGTATATCTTATAAAAAAATCTTTGAGGACAAGGTTTGTCCTCTCTTTCAATCCTTTCAACATTTTACATAATATAAACATAGAAAAAGTGAATGAATTTTTGAAGTATCTATTTTTCCTATAGTTTTGTTAGTATACAATCATACTTGTCAGTCAAGAGAAAGTCTGCCCTTTTTACTTTGTTATTGGAGTTGTGTAAGTCTGTGTGTTACGCTTATATTCGCAGCCTCATGCCGTCATTCGTCATACCATCAGATCTGCAAACAGGAATGCCAGAGCTGAGCGGACAGCTTCAGAAATAAACTGTATGTGTTTGGCATACAATGTCTGTGGGTGGTATTGGAGGGCCGATCTGGGTAGCCTTGGGTTTTTGATGGAGTAACAAAATCTGACTAGTTGAGACTTCATACTTTGACATATCAGAATACCTTTAAAATATAGATGATGCTTTTCTGGCTTCATTAGAATTTCCTTAGATTATAATTTTTGAATATTTTTTATTTTCTAATTATGTGCATAACAGTGTCCATTGCTGGAAATTTACAAAAAGGAAAAAAGTTAAAAATTAATACTATACGTAATCATAGCATGCCAAGCCATAGTTAGTATTTTTTGCCACATCCATCATGCTTTTCCATGTATGTTTATTTTTATGCAGTTGAATTAATATTATTCATACAATTTTATTTAAGTAGAAATATTTTCCATATATTAGCATAGGTTTTATAATGTTAGTGGTTGCATAATTTTATTAGTTGATATATTGTAGTTAGTTCCCTATTGTTGAGCATTTGATTTGGCTCAAGGTTTTTTTAAGTCAGGTTAGCATGAAAATGAATTTTTCTAAAATGTTTAAAAAGATTAATATTTAAAAATTTCATAAGTTAATTATTGACATAACATTTTATATCAGTCATTGACAAGAAGCAGGTTGTAAAGTCTTAGGTTTAGGTTTATTGACTTAAATTCATAGTTGTTTTAAGAGAGTTAGTTTACTGTAAAATGAGATATATGACTAACAATACAAGAACTGGGAATCATCATGGAAGAAGATAATTCATTATATATTCAAGCTAGTTAAAAATATTGCAGATAGGTGTTTTAAAACTGCATTTTCTTGAATCTTAAGTATTTCTAGCTCTTTAGATACAGGTTTAGAAAGCTGGGTCACTGCAGCATTAAAATGACCTTCCCAGTTTCAAGCAGGAATTTCCATAATTAAGCTAATAGTTCAAGATGTAGTGTCTTTGTTAGTGCCCAGTCTGCTGTCATTTTATGTTGTTGTCTGATCTCACATGAACTCCATGGGCTTTAGAGTCCAGATAGAAAAGAGATGAAGTTTATTTCCTTTGTAAAGCTGTATTCTTTATTATATACAGGTGCATGGTATTCCATTAATGTAATGAAATTCATTTTGTTTTTAATTATCTTTGGTTTTATGTCATATTTAGCCAGGTCTTGTATCATATTTAGCCAGTGTTACAAAAGAATTTTCCTAGAATTCTTTTTTGTATTTTCTTTTTAAAAATATTTAAACCTTTATTGTAAAGTATTTGGTAGAGATATGAAGTATCAATTCAGCTTTGGTTTCTCTGTAGATGATTTCTCATTTATCTCAGTACTATTATTAAATAATCTTTGTACTCACAAATTTCAATAGGCCTGTCTTCAATATGAATTCTCTTACATGTTTTAGGGCATTTTCTGGAAATTCTATTCTGTTGCACTAATATGTGTATTCATGTGCCAGTAGCATATTTTTGATGATTATATGTGTTAAAATCTATTAGAACTACTCTTTCTTCTTCCCATTTCCTTGCATATACCTTATTGCTGTCTTTTTAAAATGACATTTAGCTGTTTCTCCCACATAAATTTGAGAGTGAATTTACTTAGTTGAAACAAGTCTTAATGTTTTTTCCTGATATCTCATTTATATTTTAACTTTGGAATAATTGACATCATTATGATATTTACTTTTCTTTTCTTTTGGTACTGGGGATTGAACTCACAACCTCATGCTTGCCAGACGGGTGCTTGTGCCACTGAACTAAATCCCCAGCCCTGTGATATTTACTCTTAACTAAACTTTTTCAGGGAAAAATTAGACTTGACTTTTGCGAGTGCTTAGAATACTATATCGTCACAAAATAAACACTGTGTGCTTCAAGTGCCAGATAGAAAGTGGTGGCGTTTAAGATTTTACTGATGATTTATCTGTCTTTAACTTTGTCTCTTACCAGGAATGTTTCGCAGCTTTGTTCTTGCTTAGTGGATCTTATACATGCCTGGTTAGTTCTATTCTGGGTTTATTGTTGTTGTTGTTCAGTTTTTGTTGTTGTTGTTAGCTGTTTTGTTTTGTTTTTCTTGAGACAAGTCTTGCTATCTGGCTCAAGCTGGCCTTGAACTCCAGGTGATTCTCCTGCCTTTGCCTCCTGAGTGCTGAGATTACACGTGTGGGCCAACACATGGCATGTTTCTGTTTTTTAAATTGAGCTATAACTTACATACAGTAAAATCCTCAAGTCTTAAGTACACTGTATTTTAAAATACACCTATAAAAAAATAAACAAAATCCATGTGTATTCTTGTGGCTATTCCCTGGCTCAAGGCAAGGAACATGATCCAAACGCAGAAGGCTTTCCTGCTCCTTCACAACCAGTGCCCTCCTTCTGCTGGTCACTGCCCTAACTGCTGTCATCCTAAGTTTTTGCTTGGTCTTATCTTCAGACAAACGAGATGATGAAAGACACACTTTTGCTCCTGGTTTCTTTTGTGTAGCATTGTCTCCAAGAGTCTCTCATGTCTTGTGTAGCAGTAGTTCATCGTTTTCACTGGAATATAGCATTCCATTATATTGTCATACCAGTTTGCCTGTTCTTCCATTGATAGGCCTTTGTTTGCAGTTTGGGGCTATTATGACTACCGTAAGCATTCTTACTGTGTATCTTTAATGGACAGAAATAATCAGTGTGAATCTGGCCCGGGCTGAGTCCACCAGAAACAGATGTACAGTCCAACAAAATCAGGCCTATTGACTCTTTGCAGTGAATTAGGACACATACCAGAAGAGCTGTAGAGCATTTCATCACAGGAAAACAAATGATACAGAGCTTTGAGAAAAATGGAGTTCAGGTGAAATTTAATGTGTACGAAGGATGAGCATCAGGTCTGTGCAATAAGAGTAGACCCAGAAGTGCCTTTATTTGTAGGTCAATATCTGGGTTAGTAATTGAGTCTGCTTCTGTTTGTCCATGACTTCAATTTTCCAGTCAAGAATAAAATGATTCATTGTAAGGAATTTGATTTCACACAGGAAAGGTTCCGATAGTCTGATTTCAGAGAATGAGTAAGAAATTTCAGTAATAAAGCAATATAATTCAGAGAGGAGGTCATTATATGAAACTTTACATGCTTGGAATAAACAGTGTATTGACTTTGCATTTGGAATTGTGTCTCTCCTCCCACCCTAAAAAGTAGAAAGATCTCTTCACTTTCTCAGTCTTATGCAGATACACAAGTTTACAAATGTGTTAACCATATTATATAATTTTTTTAGTTTTGTCATTTAAAAAGTCATGGTTGAATCCATTTACCTAGGAAATTAACGGATGACAATTGGCACCAAATTGGGAGGTATCCACGGGGAAGTGAGTATAGGCCTAATGGGGGTTTAATTATGTATTCTTAGCTGACTCAAGAATGAATTTCAGCCAAGTATTTTTATTATACAGAGGACTGACCAGGTAAAAAGAGCAGTATTAAGAAATACGGGCTCTATAAGTATCAAAGTTATGAGGCAGCAAGTGTCCATTAATATTCTGTGTTTGGATTATTAGAGAAGGGAAGAATGTTGGTAAGAAAAGAACATAGCAGCCAAATGCATAAACCCGAGTCTGAGAGTCAATAGCTCTGCTCACCTTGTCCCATGGTCTAGGGTAGTCATCGACCTAGTCCAACAGACTGGGCAAAAGCTGTCTTCTCTTTATAGTCGTCTGCCGCTGAGGGATTGCCTGTCTTTCCAGTTTGAGGTGTCCTGTTAGGACAGTCTCTGGTCATTTAAGATTGATGTTTGTAAGGATCAGTGTCCTGGTCCACTGCTGTGTCAGTTACTATCAGAAGCTGCAAGATTCTGTTCATTGAGGTTGGTTGGAGGGCAATTGTCCAGAAGACTCCGAATTTTAAATCTTGTAAAGATTGTGTCAGAGAAACATTTTATGGACCTGTTTGATGTAAAACTGTATATACTATAACCATAGAAGTGACAGTAGAGAACAGGATTCCTATGTGCCTTGGATGTTCAGGCTTCAGTCCTTTGAGAGAGTTAATGGGCACTATAGTGATCTCACTGTTATTTAGACAGTGAAAAAGCAAAACTGTAGGCTGAGGAAGTCTGGGAATTTTGGAAAGTGTAGACAATTTAAGTTCAAAAACTCTATCCTTTTTATCTGAAGACTCAGAGTGGTAAAGGCAATGAGCTTTGAGTAAAATATACTGTCTGACAAATCTCCTTAATAACAGTTCTAGAGAAATGAATGATTCTGGCTCTTGAAAGATAACTTCCCAGATAAGGAAATATGTACTTAAATAGCACTTTCATTTCGTTTTTACCTTTGCTAGTCTTCAAGTTGAAGCTTTTTGACAAAAATAGAATCTAATTACAAAATAAAATTTTTTATTGCCTGAAAAACTATTTCTGAAATTTCCATGAATATTAAGTTGCAGATTACAACTCAATTCATGATATCAATTCATATTTTTTAACAAATAGACTTATTTTTTATTAGTTTGAGTCTTTAAGGGGCACAACATCTCATTGGTTCTGTGTCCAGTGAAAGGTCTTAGCAGCAGAAAGTTTGTTTCAGAATTTGACAGCAGCTGGGCCACTGTTTCCGTGGGTATGAGTTACCTTCCCCCAGATAACCCTTATTTTGTTCAGTTTGCCAGGAGTCAGTCACTGTGATGTGTTTCACTCTGCACACATAATTGTGCATGTCTCTGGTCTGAGCAGGACTTAGTTGCAGCTTCCATCCAGACACCTCAATTAGAGTAAGAGCTGTGTGCTCCCTGTATTTCCACAAACCCTGCTTACAGCTAGAAAAGTAGCCTTGCACTGTACCACATACTTGCCTTTTAGAAGTCCTATTTCCAGCAAGCGTCCAAAGTCTACACGAAAGCAAAAACAGCTGGCTGTAAACACACGCACACACACTATCCTTAAGTTGAAGCTTTTGTGATGTTTGTTTTTTAGTAGCTTGACTATAGTATGTCCGCATGCAGTTTTCTTTGTATTGTTTTTTTCCTGTGGTTCATTACCATTTTTAATTAAATGGGCTGATTACTTTTCATCAAATTTGGAAAATAATAGGCTGCTGTTGCTTCAGACTTTCTACCCCAACCTCCTCTGATTCTGGGTTATTGTTTATTCATTTGTGTCCCAAGCCATTGAATCTTTGTTCTTCCTTTCTGCTCAAAACAGAAGATTTTTGATGTTATTGTTATTCTCTGTACTTCAATTTCACTTCTGTTACCCTGACTTCATTGTCATCAATCTTTTCCTTTGTAGCCTTCAAGCTGCTGTTAAACTCATCCGGTGGGTTTTATTTCAGGTATTTTTCAGATTTAGACTTATTTGCAGAGATCACTTGTGTCCTCCAAATTCCTTGAACATACTTTTAATATCTACTGGTTTCAACATTTGCATTATGTCTGGACCCATTCTATTAATTTTTATTCAAAATGGCTGTTTTTAAAATTATGTCTTAGACAGTGCTGTACAGTGTTGAACACTAAGTGGCTTCTAGCATAAGGGTAATTCTAATTCCATATACTTGATTATGGCTAAAATTGGATCATCTTATTAGTAATTATGAAGGGTGTATGGTAGAAGGCCTCCCCGTCTTTGTCCTAAGTCAGAGGCACTAAAGGGATTTTTCTTTAAAACAAAAAATGGGTGTCCAATTTGACACACACAACAGAAATAGGAGGTTCCAACAGTCTGTATTGCAAGACATGACTATAATGATTTTAGACTAATCATAATTACTTTAGGGATACATTTTCTTACATGTTGAAACATTTTAAGTATCCTATTTAAGTGAAATCTCATTTCAGTAACTAAATCTGGTAAATTAGGATGCAGTTGATATTTTAGAATATGTTTGAATTATGAAACTCATTTTTTTAGGAATTTTTTTTTTTCTATACTGGCTGGCTTTGAATTTGCAATCCTCCTGCCTCAGCCTCCAAAATAACTAAGACTACAGGTATACACAACCATATCAGGTTAGGAATTAAGTCTTTAAAACTTCATGTTAGATTTCTGACCACTATTATAACATTTAATCTGACAGAAATCATTTGTTCTTTTTAGATAAATCTATAATTTTGTTGTTTCTTCTCTGCCATGAAGCGTTAGTTTAAATTGGTCTCAAAGCAGAAGCTACAGCATAAAAAAATCTGTAAATTCTTCCTTACTCAGCTACTTCTAATGAATTTTTTAAAATTTCTTTTACACAAAAAGTACTTTCTAATTTCCTGATTTCAATCAAGAATTAAGCAGATATGTTAGGAATGCTCGTTGGTCTCTTTTGTAAGCCTAAGGAAAGGGGTTCTCTTGTAAAATAAGTAAGGATTGTTTTCCTTCTGTTCCCTCTTTTCTCTTCTTCCTTTCCACTGTCAGTACCCAAACTTCTCATTAAATTTCTGAGACAAGCCCTTCAAGACACTGAGTTTATACGTATCTGTTATTATTTTGCAGTTGACAAATTACAGTTTGAACCTCCTCTAAGAAAAGAAACAGAAGCCCGGGATGAAATGGTAAGAATTGTGATTTTAAAATATTTCCACACTGAATTTGAGAAATCAAGTTGGTTCACTCTAAGAAACAAAGTAATATACCCTTTAGCATTAGTTTTAATTTTCACACTGTGGTTTGAAAAAGTTGAGGGTTCTCCAGGGTCTGTCAAAAAACCCATATGGGGGCTGGGGATTTAGCTCAGCAGCATAATCGCCTGCCTTGCAAGCAGGCAGTCGTGAGTTTGATCCCTGGTACTGATAAAAAGGAAAAAGAAAAAAAACCATATGAATTTATTAAACATTTAACAGGATGCTCAGTTTTAAGTTCTCATGGCCTTTTGTTATTAATTTTGTTAGGTTTGCAGTAAAAGTATCTCATTTGTGGGGCAAGTGCTGTTTTACAGTGGTAGTGTTTGCTTAACTTATGTAAGACTCTGGATTCAATCCTAGCACCGGCAAAAAGAAAGAGAGGGAGGGAGAGAAAAAAATTTATGTTTTAACCATTGGTCTTTTTTGGTGGTACCAAACTCAGTGTCTTTGCACTGATCTCTATCCCTTCCCTGTTTTAATCTTGTTTTTGAGACAAAATCTGCTTAACTGGCAAAATCGCCCAGGCTCAGCTTGAGAGCCTCTCCTGCCCCCTTGTTTTAGCTCCCAAAGTGCTGGGATTACAGGTGTGCACCACTACAACTTGCTCTTATTTTGAGTTAACTACTTAGTTAACCTTTTCCTTACCTAAAAGGAAAGAATAAGTAAAGCAACATATTTTTAAGATTATTTTACATGTTACCTTAATATCTACTATATTTTCTAGTTTAAAAAGTATGGTGTTTAGAGTAACAGTCTTCTTAACATTGGAAATTGTTTTTCTTTCTCTACATGTTTCTGTATAATTCTCACTCTCTTTGCTAATAGAAAAAGTATTAACATAGTTTAGTAACATAGTTTCATAATATGTTATTAGTTATAGTTAGTGGAGTAGTAATGTAAATAATTGAAATTTATTTTTGTGTTAGTATACTAGCGTATTGGTCAACAGATTTATTACATTTAAAGCTAGGTTTATTATGTTTGTAGAATTTGTTAAGTTCATGTCAACTGATAATGAACCATTGACCTAAATATGACAAAGCAGATCTAGCTGGATATTTAGAAACTGCCGAGCCAGGGCTATAGCTCAGTGGCATAAGCACTTGCCAGGCATGTGCAAGGTCCTAAGTTCGATTCCTGGTTCACACATATCCCCGCCCAAATTGTCTTGAATGCCAGGACTCATGACACTGAAATTGTTTTGTGGTTGGTACCTGTAAATAATGGTTAGTATTAAGATAGTTAATATCTGTGAAAGTAACAATTGAAATGGTATTTTTAATGTTCACAGGGAATGTCATCAGACCCAAATTTTTTATTACGGTGGAATCCTTTTGTTGATGGTGCAAATACTGGCAAGTAAGTTGTTTTGATTTTCTAATTAATAACTGTTTTACTTAGTTATATGAAACAGTTTTTAGTAGAAACAGAGTAATTGTTGTAATTTCTCTTTTTCTTAAAAAAAAAAAAAAAGCCATCAGTGGAAAGCTGACTTTTATTACCAAAAGACATCATACTTTGATCATTAAGATTTTCAGGCTTTATTTTAATGAGAATATATTGTGTATAATAATACTGTATTGAAAGATGAACCAGGTGGTATCATGGGGGCAAAAGACTTGCGGAAATCAGAAAGCCCCAGTCTACCACTGCAGTGGAGTTACTCCATATTTCAGACCTGCTTTGTTCCCTCCACAGTTAGGTGAGTTGTTTGCCTGTCTGTACAGTGTAGATGCCTAGAAAACTCTTAAGAAATTGCACCTGTAGATTGGAAGTTGGCAAATAGTAGTCTGTGGGCCAATTCAGTAAGAATTTACTTTTTTTTTATGGTTGAAAAAGTGAAATGAATTCATTTTGTTACATGTGAAAATTGTATGAAACTCACATTTCATTGTCATAGAGGCTTATTGGAACATAGCCCTATCCATGAGTTTATATGTCTGACTACAGCTGGTTTCACACTGTGTATAAAGAGAGTGGCACCTACTGTGTGTATTGCAATGCCTTTAGTATTTACCATCTGGCTCTTTAGAGAAAAGGTTGCAAACCACTGCAATAAAATAGTCTTTGAGAGTGGAATCTAAGAATCCTAAAAGCTTCCCAATTGATGGCAGAACTGTGGATAAGTATATATGACCAGTGAGCTGGGTCAGTGCTTCTCACACTTTACCTGCCTATTGATCTGCTGCAGATCTTATTAAAATGCAGATACTGATTCAGTCGGCCTAAAGGATTTATTCCTAAAAGTTCCCAGTGGTGCCATTGTTACTGGTCTGACATGCTTTGGTCATGTAGCCACTTGAGTCTGTAAGTTCAGAATTATGAATTGTTTTTTAAATTATTTTTTAATTGTGTATTAGATATATTTTGAGTTTTATATATATGTGCAACACAATGATTTTTTAACAACATTCCTTACAGACATTTGTTGTACTCTTTATACACATGCAAAAAAAAGAAAAAGAAAAAGAAAACAATTACTAGGGAAGAAGTAATAATAAGTCAGTGGTTCCTTGATTTAGATGAAACTGAAGCTTATAGTCAAATTTTTATCTTTAACATATACAAAAGCAATTAATATTATATTTGAAGCTATTTTTATAGCATTAAGTAATACTGCGTTACATTTATAGTAAAAGCTAATTTCATTTATTCAGCAAATAGCTTTAGAAAAATAATAGCTTGTGCTGTTTTCTGAAGTAAATTAAAAATTACATAGCTAAATCATTTTTTATAAAGTTTCTAAAAAAAATAAAGTTTCTGAACATAATAGTAGTATATCAATATAATGTACAGGTTTTGACCAGAATTATGAATTTTGTTGTTTTTTATTTGCCATTGGTGATTGAACTCAGGGCACTGCACGTGCTAAGTATTCTCTCTATCACTGAGTTTTACCCTTACCTGGTTTTACTTTTTACTAGTTTTAGTTTTTATTTCAAGTTAAATCAAGCATAAGTATAAAGGCGAAATTTTTTTATTTTTATTAGTATGTGTTTCCAGTAGATAATCATTACATTTGTTGTAGCAAGTTGGTATATGTACATAATACATCTTAATTCTTTTTATGTCTTTCATTTCTCCTTTTTTTCCCCTCTTTCCTTCATTTCTTGATCCTTTTTGGAAAAGATCTGTTTCCTATTATCTATCCTTTAGTTTGTTCTTTAATTTATTCATTTGAGTTTCTCATGTCAGAAAAACCATATGAGCTTTAAGCTCATGAGTCTGATTTATTTAACCTGACATGATCTCAAGGTATATCTTTTTACCTTCAAATGACTCTAATTTGTCTTTCTTTATGGCAGAGTAGTACTCCATTACCTATAAATACATTAAGCATAACTGTAAAGTAAAAAAAGACTTTATGTCCACTTTATAAAATCTCTATTTTATAGACTGCTAATACAACCTACCAATATGAGGTCTTAAGTCTTCCTAAAGGTTTTATGCTCTGTATCATATGTGTCATTTCCTCTGAACAAATTTTAGCTTATATTTAAATAGTGTTTTTGTTTTATGTATTTATCACAATTTAACTGCTTTTTCCCCCTTGGTGTTAGATCAACTGCAAAACGTGCAATACCACCTCCCCTACCTCCTAAGGTGAGCTGTTTAAGGATTTTGAACAATAAATCATTGTCTAAATAATTAAATTCTAAAAAATAATTTTATCCTAAATTTTCTTACACATATTCTAGATGGATAAAATTTTTTTGCAAGAGAAACCATAAAGATATAAAATATCAAGACTATTTCAGGAGATGGGGCTAGGGATTTAGCTCAGTGGCTAAGCACCTGCCTTGCAAGCAGGTGGTCATGAGTTCGATCCCCAGTACCAATAAAAATAAAAAAGACAAAAAAAAATATTACATAAAGTCTATTTCAGGAGAAATTTGGGGGGGGGGGCGCGAAACTGGGATCAAACTCATGACCTCACACTTGCCAGGCAGGCACTTACACTACTGAGCTAAATCCTTGACCTAAAATAAAATATTTTTAGTAGCTACTAGAAAAAGAAAAAAATAGGTTACTGCTCATTTGAGAAAATATGTGAGTGTATAGAAGGGAAATAGTTCATCATATGTCACTCATATGTCACTCTCATTTACCATGCAATCTGACATTTCAGCAAAGTTGTACTTAAGTGATTCTTCTTACTTGTTTTTAGTTACTAAGTATTTTGTGGGCTGCTTATATAATAGTTGAGCCGGACATGGTGGCACACCTGTAATCTCTACTCAAGAGGATCATTACAAGTTTGAGATCAGCCTGGGATGCATTAGGCCAGCCTGAACTGAGTTAGCAAAACCCTGTCTCAAAAAGACCAAAAAAAAAAAAAATTTAATAATAATAGCATATTAGTTGTAAAATTGCTACCAGTTTTGGATTGGAGCTAATTAAAAAATCAAAAGTTCAGGCCAAAGATACTGCTCAGTGGTACAGTACTTGCCTGGCAAGTGTAGGGTCCTGAGTTCAATTCCCAGTACAAAAAAAGTCAAAAGTTCATAGTTGGGTTGGGACGTCAAATCAACTCTTGCTGACTTGCTGACTTTTTAGCCTGTTGCAATAAATTTAACTATGTAGAAGAAAGAAAAAGAGTATATCCTCACCTCCCAAAGTCTTTGATATTTAATAACACATAGTAGTTTTCATCTACAATTTTTAAACTATTTTCTTGTCTTTTTATCACTAGCCAAGGATAAATAGTTACTCTGAAGACAGCTTCCCAGATGAAGAAAAATCATCAACAGTGAAACGTTGCCCTGATCCAGATCACAGAGCTCCCCAACTTCTGAGAAGACAGAGTAGCCCAAATTGTGGTCTTGTAACTGAGACTTCCTCTATGGGTATGGCTAGCAGTGTCACCAGCCGTGGAGTGCATACGGCTAGATACTGTGATCTGGGTAAATAAAGGGAAAAGAAAGCCTTTTATCATTAGTCTGGTTACATTAAGTTTTATGAAAGCTTTTTTTTTAATTATCCATATTTTTTTTATTTAAAGAGAAGAAAGAAAGGAAAAAAAACAAAGCAGTAAAAGGGTACAAGTAATACAGAATTTCAAGAAAAAAAATATACAGTAAGCAATCACTAGTTAATAGATTACATATTGTCATCTTAGAAACAGTTGTCCAAATTACAAAATTAAAGCGTACAAAGTGGACATTTATACAGTGAGATTGCAGACAGTTCTGTTCAATGATCCAACAAAGACTCAGTAATATGGTTTTCTATCCTACACACTTAAATATACATGTAGTTATATCCTTTAGACCACTTTCTTTTCCTCTCTTTTTTACAATAACAATTACACTTTTGGGGTTTTATTACTCCCACAGTTCTTATTACTTTTTTTTGAAGAGAATAAAACCAAATGTGACAAAACAAAACAGAGTCAGTTAGAACAGAAGGATGGACATAGTACATGATGCAAAAATAGAATACCAGGTGATAAAATGGTTACCATTATGCCTCTTGATTTAGTTTTCCCTTTTAAAAAATAAATTAATTTTTTAAAAAAGGAGGGGAGATTGAGATAAAAGAGGACATAGTAACAGAACAACACAGTTCAGAACCGAACAATTTAAACATCATTGTGTTTCACCACCAGATAACCTGACATAATAGTTAGTCACCATAGTGTCTCTTTCCTTGAATTATTTGAGTATAACTTCGTATACTATAGCGTCAAACATAGCAAGACAGTGTGAAGCCATTCAAGAGAATGAAAGAATTACAGGGTATTTGGAACCAGCTAACAGAAAACAAACAACAATTTCTATATTATCTCTTTGCCTATAAAAAATTTTGTTTATACTATCGCATATAGTAAATAAATGGACGCAGCTTGAGGCCATACTCATAAGTGAAATAAATCAAACTCACGTGTATAAATACCGAATAGTTTCCCTAGTGTAAGAAATGATAAGAATACATAAAAGTATGTGGTAATCATGATTCCCAGTCATATGGTTTGAAGCCATATAATGTTTTCACTCATTAATTGGAATGATTTTAATCTGGGTTGTTCGATTTTATTGTCTGTAATAGTACGAATAGCTATTTTAAAGAAAACAAGACATCATAATAGCTAGAGCTGATTTAATATCATCTTGTTTTGGAAGTTCCATCAAGCTGTTGTTCATCTGTCTCTATTGGTTTTAAATGAAAGTTTTTAATTCCCCATGGAGGAGCTAGAAAAAAGTTCAGTACATATCACCCCTGACTGGGGTTTATTAATTATTGTAGGACTTAGATGAATTGTGTTCCTGCCTTACAGGAATTTAGGGGCTATTGCAGAAGTTTACCTATGTACTCGTAACACTAGATAAGATGGCTCATATAAGTGACTCCTAAAATAGTACGTAGTAGAAAAAGTGAACTTTCTAACTGGAGTAGGGATAGAGTAGAGAAGGAGGTGGGCTCTTGCAGGGCAGTAAAAGCTTGAGTGAGCCTCAGTAGGTGGAGCCAGTGCTGAGGAGGTATTCTCAGAGAACAAGAAAGGGTGCGCGGGTGCGCAGGTGCGCTAAGGCAGGAAAATCTGCATTGTGTGAAGTACAGTGCAGTATGAGTGCGATATTTAAAGAGAAGGTAGAACTAACATAGATTGAGCTAACACAGATTGAATTCAATTATAAAAGGCCCTGCACATCAGTGTCAGCAGGTTAAATTCCCTTTCTCCACCATGTGGAAAGCTGTCTGTCATCTTCCTAGGTCAAGAGCACTGCTGAAGATGCAGGGCAACCTCCACATGGTGAAGAAAAAGGCACCAAAGATAAATAATTAATCTGACAGTAGAAAATACTCTCCCCTTGAGGGTCACCCAGGAGAACACCAGGGAGGGTATTTTCAAAGAATGTGCTTATTTGTATGCTCATTCAGCTTTTAACTGTGATTTTCTTTAGGAAATGGTGATGGTATCTCCAAATTAATTAGTGAAAATACAGAAGGATCAGCACAGGCGCCACAGTTACCACGAAAAAAGGACAAGCGAGACTTCCCTGTAGGTACCACAGGCGTCTGGCAACAAGCTGTAACTGACATGTATCCGCAGCTTGGAGGGGATAGTGTTGTTAAGAGTGCAGATAACTAGAGCTGGGCGTGGGGTGGGGTGCGTGCCTGCTGGCGGTTACTCCAGAGGCTGAAACCGAAGGATAACTTGAGCCCTGGAGTTCGGTCTACATTGCAAGACCTCATCTCTTAAATTAAAAAAAAAGAGTGACTGAATTTCTAAATGGCAACGTTTTTCAAGACTTAGGAAGTATCTTACAGTGTTTTGTTTTGTTTTTTAACAGAAACCAGTCATCAATGGTCTCCCACCCACCCCAAAAGTCCTGGTAAGGAATATTTTTCTGTAATCCATTTGCCAATTTTTTATGTCTGTAAATAGCAAAATTACATTTGTTACCAAAGTATATTGAGCCTTTAAATGGAGGGATATTATAAAATATTAAAATATTAGATACATTTGAATGTATCATGTATCAAATCATGTACCCTAAATTGAGTGAATTGTTTAGAATTTAGAGAGCATTTCACTTTTATAAATACTGGCAATCAGTTTCCCAAACTAACCTAAAAATGTCAGTATAGTTAATAATGATGATGTTAAGAGTACATTATCTTCTTCCCTTTCCACCTGTTTTCACACAGGACTGGGTACCGTGAAATGGAAATTTTAACAGTTTTCTGTGGCCCTCTCTGAGGCATCTATCTCTGATGTGGTTGAACCACCCATGTAAATGGGATACTTCATAAATTTCACCTTTTGATCCAGAGTTCAATATATAAGAGAAATTATCAGTCTTTTCATCTTGTTATGTCTATTCTGCCATTAGTGCTCTAATGTTACTTAATAAAAGCAACCATTGTTTAACATAATTCTAAAGTAATAACTTAAAATATTTAAGATGTATCTTGGGTATATGTAGATCTTTGGTAAATTTTGTACTTTTGCTCTAAAAGAGCAGAGTAAAAAAAAACATGAAACTTTCTTGGTACAAGAAATTATGTATTTTGTTTTGAGATGAAATAAACGTGCAAACAAAAGTTTGACATTTCATAATGAGTTTCATAAAAATACTTAAAATTATCTAATCAAATAAGTCTACATTTCTTTGTAATTAAGATGGGAGCATGTTTTTCAAAAGTTTTTGATGGCTGCCCCTTGAAAATTAATTGTGCGACATCTTGGATACATCCTGATACAAAAGGTAAAATTTCTGAATATTGTATGCACCTCCAGTAGAGTATGTATTGTGAGAAAAGATATCTATAGTCAGTAAAATTACGTAGTTTATTTTGAAAATAAGACCTTAGAGACTAAATAGCAAGGTTTTGGTTTAAATGTAGTAAAATTTAAGAGTATATAAGAATTGTTCTGAGTAAAGATGGCTAAAGTGACCTCACAGCTGATTGCAATTTTAATTCGCCACTTTATTTTACAATAAAAGGACATTACTGAGACAATTTATAATCTTAATAAAGTCTGTAGGTAAAATAATACCGTTTCGGTGTTAATGCTCTGTAAGATTTTAAAAATAAATGCACATTGAAATATTTAGGAATGAAGGCGACGTCATACTCTTGACTTAAACAGTTCAGAAGACAATGGGTAGGGGGGAAAAGGATCAAATGGTAGTGAATGGTTGGTGTTTGTGGAATCTGTTAGGGTATTCAGGAATTCTTTGTGCTATTACAGTTTTGCTATAAATCTGAAGTGATGTCAGAATGCTAAGTTTTAGTCTGTATTTTTTAAGTGAGGAAGCATCATAAGCAGAGGCAAAAATCAGATAATCTGGGTTTAAGTTCCTACTTTGTCATTATTATGTGAGTTGGAAAATAAGCCTGGCATCTCTGGTTTCATGGTAATCTTGTGACATAAATATTCTTAATATTTACCTTCTTGCAAGAAAGATTCCAAGATTGCTGATTGGCAACTAGCAAACATATGTAGGCAGTAGAAGGAGCTCAGGATTGTTTGTTTCTTTTTTTTTTTTTTTTTTTTTTTGGAGCCAGGGATCAAACTTATGACCTTGAGCTTGCCAGGCTTAAGCCACTGAGCTAAATCCCCAGCCCAGGAATGTTTGTTTCTGTTTCAACACAGTAAGGAAAACAGATTATAGGCTGGGCATATAACTCAGTAGCATAACACCTGCCTGGCAAGCACTAAGTAAAGAGCTAGATTCCTGGTACCAAAAAGAAAGAAAGAAAGATAACAGGTTATAAAATAGTCTATTTTAAATGCCACTGTTCTACTGTTAGAAAATATAAAATAAAAATTTTGATTGTAAGGAAATTTTGTTTGAAACTTACTTGGTATATTCAAATTTACAGAAAACTACAGTAATCTTGTAGTCATTATTATCAGTTATTTCTAGTTTACCCTATTTGTTTGACCATTTTCTATGTTTACATGCATTTTTTTTTCATAAATAAGATGGAGACCTGATACTCTTCTACTTAAGTATCTATTTCCTAGTATCAAGAATCATCCCTTGGCCAGTAACCTAGCACTATGGGAGGCCAAGGTAGCAGGATCACAAGTTGGAGCCTAGCCTAGGCAACTTAGCAACTCAGCAAGACCATGTCTCAGAATTTAAGAAAGGGTGAGGATGTTGCTAGTGGTGAAGGCCCAGGGTTCACTCTAGTACCAAAAAAAAAAAAAGCTTCAATTGGGCTGGGCATAGTGGTGTCTCTATCCCAGCTGCTCTCCAGGCTGAGGTAAGAGGGAACTTTGAGATAAGCCTGGGCAATTTAGTGAGAGCCTGTCTCAAAGTAAAATCTAAAAGGGACTAGGAATGTAGCTCAGTGTAAGAGGTTTACCTACAGTATGTGAACCCCTGAGTCTAAGCCCCAGCACTGCCAAAAAAAAAAACCAAGAAAAGCATATTTACATAACTACAAAACAGTTATAAAGATCCGGAAGTTTATCATTGATGTAATTGTTCATTTAATACAAAATCCATATTTAAGTTTTATTTTCCCAGTAATATTCTTTCTAGTCCTCATTTCATTTTTCCAGTTCAGCATTTAATTTATGAGTACATACTGAATTTAAGCAGCTTGAATTTGTGAATTCTTACTTTATTCAGTGAGATATGATCTGTCATTTTTGTACTTAAATTTTTGTCACAGAATTTTTGGGTTAGACAGAAACTCAGGAGTTCTGGAAGCGCCTGTGTAATCCTATTTGAAATGTCTGAATTCTTTTCGAGCATTTCCTTGCTTTCTGGCACAGCAGGTATCTCTGCTCATCTTTCCCTGCCCAGGAACTAAAACCAGTCTTGTCCCCAGGACACCTTGGCTTTGCCTAGTGAAAACAGTGTTTAGAAACCAGTACCTGAGCCCTAGCCGGACTCTCTCTGGTGTGTGGTGATTTATAATTTATATTTGATGTGTCATTTCCTTGTTCAAGAGTATTTGAGATATCTTGCAAGATTCATTACTACAAGAATACTACAACAGAAAGATCATATCGAAGTAGAGAATTATATAGTAAGATAAACTCAATGAATTATTCTAATCAGGCTGTATCTATTTTTTATAAAACAAGAAAAGTGTTAGGGAAAGAAGTATGGTGGCATGAATTTTAGAAAATAATTTTACTTTGTATGGGTGGCTGTCTAACTCTTAATGTCATTACAACAGAAAACGTCTTTTAGTAAATAAGTTTTGAAAATGGTAGTAAATGTTGGCAATTTATGAACTGTTGTAGATCAGTACATTATTTTTGGAACTGAAGATGGCATTTACACATTGAATCTCAACGAACTACATGAGGCAACTATGGAACAGGTAATGAGGCATTTTAACTCAAGGAGTTAGAACAAATCAAATAGAAGTATCTTAATTTTAAATCTGTTTGTGTGGACCCCAATTTTTATTTTTATTATAAATATCTGAAAAGGGTCCAGTACTACTGTTTACATGTTCATGTTGAAAAGTTTTTTCCCCTGAGATTTTGGTAATTTACTGAAAGACAAAAATAGTTTCTTTTGTAATGCTGTTTTACTTGTTTGGTTTGGTTTGGTTTGGTTTGGTTTTGTGTGGTCAAGAGTACAGGGGCCTTGTACATGCTAGGCGAGCATCTCTCTTGAGCTACATCCCTAAGAGTGCTGTGTTAGAATGTTGGAATTTGGTTAAAGGGTAAGAGAATGAAAATTACCCAGTTTAATTTTCTTTTTCTTTTTCTTTTTCCTTAGTTATTTCCACGGAAGTGTACTTGGCTATATGTTATCAATAATACTTTAATGTCATTATCAGGTATGCATTTCATGATGAAAAAGCAGAGGTTAGCAGAGAAATATCATTTTAGTACCTACTATTTTAAAATGTGGTATTTCTAATTCTAGATAGCTAAGGTTTGGTAACTTTGAGGCTTGCAGACTTTTCTTCCCAAATGCACCCAGCAGCTGTACACCTGAGGGGTAGCATAAAGATCACCCTGAGACCCTTCCCTCCCACGCAGCCACCTCTACCTCAGCCTCCACCACTGCTTCCTCCTCTCCCCTCCACCAAGTACTAACTTCAGCAAGCCGGTTCCCCTCTTCTTAGCCTCTGTTTTCGTATTTGTCAAGTAAGGATGGTGGGTAATAAGTCTCATGAGGTTGTTGTAAGGTTAAATGAAATGAATTCAAAGTGTTAGTGAACCTTGGCACCTTAGACAGATGCTTGGCCATTTAGATTTAAATGCCTAGAGGCTTACTCTGCTACGGAGTACAAAACAATTATTATTCCTCTGTAGTAGATATTCTTCGGCAATCTATATATTTGGCTAATGCAGCGTTTTTAAAGAACATACTGTGCTCACTTTGGCAGCACACATAATAAAACTGAGGAACATATTAGTTGTGCTCTAAAAAGCTGGCATCAGGAGTACTTAATCTCTTATTATCTTTATTATGCTTTCCCCAAACTATTTTAAATTTCATGTAGTAAATGTTATTCTTTTTTTGGTCTTTTTCCTTTTTATCAGTACCAGGGATCGAACTCACGACTGCCTGCTTACAAGGCAGGCGCTTATGCCGCTGAGCTAAATCCCCAGCCCCCTATTACTCTCTTTTTGAAAAGAAACTTAAACTAATTCTGTTTAACGGTTCTGAATTTTACACATAAAATTCCTTTTCTCTAATTGTGTGTGTGTGTGTGTGTGTGTGTGTGTGTGTGTGTGTGTGTGTGTGTGTGTGTGTGTGTTTGAGACAGGGTCTCACTGTGCAGTTCAGAATGGCCTTGAGCTCATATGTAGCCCAGGCTGGTCTCAGACTTGCAAGAATCTTCCTGCCTCAGCCTCCCAAATGATGGGATTGCACGAATGCACCACCATACCCAACATTTTTCTCTTAATTTTCTTGCTGCTTTCTTTTATCCCTAGTCACAGTTGTTCTCAAAGTAAGCTTAGAGCACTATACAGGATACATTTTTAAGTATTTGTAAAATATCCCTGAGAAGCAGAGAAAAGTTAGCCTATAAATTAGTTCTTTTGTACATCAGTTTTAGCAATTACTTTTTGTGTTTTCACCCTGAAGGTTTATAAACATTCTGCTTAGATTACTGTGTGTCAGAATATACCTAGTTTGTGAATATTTTTAAAATTTATTATATTTTCAACATAATATTAACTGAATTTTTTGTTTTGCTTTTTGTTTGTTTTCTATTTTGTTTGGCCTTTGAACATGACTGGATTCCGCATTTTAGAAGGTAATTATGTTTTCTTTTACTTGAAAATTGTATTTCTCTGTTATAAATGATAAATAAAAGTAATATGTTTCTCTTTTATAGGAAAAACCTTTCAACTCTACTCTCATAATCTTATTGCTTTGTTTGAACAAGCCAAAAAACCAGGATTAGCTGCCCATATTCAAACTCACAGGTTTCCAGACCGCATACTGCCAAGGTACAGATACCATTCTGTTCTACTGGGACTGAGGGGAATTTGTGTCTATTTTTGAAGCAATCAGTGTTCCTTACTCAGAGAAAACTTCCTGTGTCTTAATTTTCAAAAGTGCTTTACACTACAGTACATGCCATCAAGGATGCACAAGATTAGTGTTTCCTAAACAGGACTGCCCACAAGTGTCAGCTGGGGGAGTGTCACAAGCCATATTCTCAGGCCCTGTGTCAGTGCTAGAAAACCAGACAGTCTGTATCCAGGACGGTTAAGCTCCTGCCTGTCTGATGCAGTGCATTCCTAAATCATTGTACGGCAACCACAGCAATAAAGAACTTTGTATTATTCTGTTTTCAGAAAGTTTGCTTTAACAACAAAGATTCCTGATACAAAAGGGTGCCACAAATGTTGCATAGGTAAGTAAACACTATTTTTCAAACTGAGTAGTTAGAACTTATAACAACTTCAGAATTATTTGAAAAGTCTTATAGAATAAAAAAGGAAAAAAATGCTTTTTTAAAAAGCGTTATGGTGATAGTGAAACACAAGAATTTAGAGAATTGTGGCATAGAATTACATGGAGACACAGATGTCTTCATGTTTTCTCAGAGCCGCGTGTTCCAACTGTTTCTTGTATGTCTGTCTGTCTGTCTGTTTTTTTGTTTGTGAGAGACAAGGTCTCACTATGTAATTCAAGCTGAACTTGAGCTTACTCTGTAGCTCAAGATTCCCAGCAGTCTTCCTGCCTCTGCCTCCTAAGTGCTGGGATTACAGGCATGCAGCAAAATGCCAGGCTGCTAGTGTTCATTCACCGTAGTCCCTAAGATCTACCAGTTACTGCTAGTTTGTTTGTTTGTTTGCAGTACTGAGCATTAACCCCAAGCCCTAATGCATGTGAGGCAGGTGCCCTCCCACTGAACTGCAGTCACAGCCCTCTTCTGGTTTCTTTTTTGATCTAGTACTGGGCAATGTGCATGCTAGGCAGGCGCTCTGCTGCTGAGCTACATGCTCAGCCCTTTGTGTTGTGTATTTTTAGATAGCATCTTATAGCTGAAAGCCCAGACTAGCCTTCAATTTGCAGTTTTCCTACTGCAGCCTCTGGAGTAGCTTGGGATTTTTAGATGTGTGTACCATGCCTTGGTTTGCTGGTTCTTTATGAGAATTATTAGAAGTTATTTTGTGGCACAAGTTATTTATGAGAATTATTAGAACTCTGAAATAGAACAGTCCAGACAAGACTGTCTTACTTCTGATACAAAGTACAACTTTGGGGGTTTCCCAAAAGCATCCTCAGAATCACAGGTTCTCTAAGACTCAAGAATTCACTGAAAGCAGTTACAGTTAGTTTCCTACAGGGAAATGATACAGTTTAAATTCAGCCAAGGGGGTTAGAGTTATAAATAGTTCAGGTACAGCTTGAGTGTGTACAAGGCACTGGGTTCAAGCTCCAACACTGCCGAAGCGAAGAAATCAACCAATAGAAGAAGAATATAGGGCAGCACACAGGAAAAGGACCAAGCGGAGAGCATCTGTCGTCCTTTCCTGATACAGTAAGGAAAGCTGCTTTGTGTTTTTCCTGGGGCTTCCTTCTGCAGGTGTGATTGTTGTCCCACATGGCTGAGCTCAGTGTCCATCTCCACAGATCAGCTGATAATTCATGACCCAGAGCTCCCACTCCAGGTCACAATGTTGGTCTTTTCTGGCATAACCAGACCTTGCACCAGGACTATCCAGTAGTGCAGTGCCCCCTAAATCATATTGTTAGATTACCAGTGACCTGAGCTTTCCATCAGACACCTAAGAAGCATGACATTTCACAGTCTTCGCAGTTCTCAGGAACAGAGGAAAGAGAACAGACCTTTTAGGGAGCGCAAATTGTTTACTACATAATTATGTCATATAACCTTTAAACAACCCTGACACCAGTTATGTCAAAAGTGATAAAACCTAGAACCAGATCTGTGTCCGAGGTCTTGAGCTCTTAGACTCCTAACTTCTGGTTATTTTTCTGTTTCATCAGTTAGCTTCACGATACGCGGTAATTGAAAAGCACAGTGCATACTTTCTGTAACAGAAATGCTTTATTTACAGGCATGTCTCTAGGGTTTTTTTGGTTTTTGGCTTGCTTGTTTGTTCATTTTTTGTTCTGTCTTGTCTTTGGTATCAGGAATCAAACTCAGGGTCTCACACTTGCCAGGCAGATACAGTGCTTCTGAGCTACCTTCCCAGCCCTAGACTTGTCTCTTGATACTTATTTTTAGGTAATTTTGTCATTGCACTTACCTAAACTGAGGCAGCTATAGTGTCCTGAGACAGTATATTCTGTGCAGTGTGTGAAAATACCAGCTCATTTTGTGAACCTCTTCCTAGCAAACATCACATCTGTACCCGTTACCAGATTCCCAAGGTCTTTCACTCAGAAAGGCCTGCAAGCTTACAGTATAAAATAGAAACTCCTAAGTGCTAATATAGAACTTAATACAAATAACTGCTCTGATAATCAGTATGTATTGTTCAAGGGAGTCAAATTGGAGGGAAACATCATAGTTGATGGGAGTCAAAGTGGGACGAAAGACCAAGAATTTTTTTAGATTTATGTACATACATGATGAATTATTTCATCGTACCTTAAGTAGACAACTGAAAACTATTCTGACAAAAATGACACGATGAATTTCACCAATCGCTAGATCTTTGTGTCAGAATTTACTTTTAGTCAGTTTATTTAGGAACAACTTTTTAGGTTTTATATAATTTAGGTGTTTTGGTGTTCAAAGCATTGTTCTTACTAAAAGTTTCTATATTTAAGAACCTAACATATTAGAGGCATTTAGGAGTAAATGTTGGTTATTTTAACATTAACTCCTTAAAATAAAAGATGCAATCAAAAATGAGCAATTGAAATAAATAGACACTTCTCAGAAGAACTACAAATGGCCAGTAAATGCATGCTGGCCATGACAGAAATGCAGAATAAAACAATACTGAGATTCTGTCTTACTCCAGAAAGAATAGCTATCTTGAAGAAATCAAACAGTAAGAAATGCCAGTGAGATTGCAGGGGGAAAAGGAACCCTACATTGTTGATGCGAGTGTAAATTAGTACAGCCGCTATACAAATCAGTATGGCCACTCAAAAAACTAGAAATTCCATTTCATCCAGCTATTCGCTTTCTCTAGGTCTCCTCAGCAAAGAGTTAAAGACATAGTTTTACAGTAATACATGCATACTCATGTTTATAGCACAATTCATAATTGCTACATATTGGAAATGGCGTGTAAGTTCATTAACAGATGATTGGATAAAGAAAATGGTGTTTACATACGGTGAATTGCTAGTCTGCCACCAAGAAGGATAAATTTGAGATATTTGTAGGAAGTGGATGCATCTTTTTTTTTTTGGTCTTTTTTGTTTTTATCGGTACCAGGGATCGAACTCAAGACTGCCTGCTTGCAAGGCAGGTGCTTATGCCGCTGAGCTAAATCCCCAGTCCCAGTGGATGCATCTTGAGACATTATTGTTAACTAAATCACACATAGGCTCTTAAATATCACATGGTTTCTTTCATATGAGGAAAAATATACAAAGAGCAAAATAAAAGGTAAATAATAGTAAATGCGGCAAATAGTAAATTTGCAAATGGGAAAATAAGATCAAGAGATGTGGGAGGGCAGGAAGAGGTTTTAAAAAGAATTAAGTACAAATGCCTCATGAAGAATTTGATCATTATATAATGTAAACATGGACTAATAAAAAATAAAATTGAAAAATGAAGCTGAGATAAGGAAGTTTCAGTGAAAAGATTAAAAAGCCAAAATAAAAAGAACTGTATTTATTTGCCCCGTTTGCCATTCTACTTAATAGAGACAGCAGTTGTTATTTGTCAGCTAAGTGATCACTTCTTACAGTTTGTTCTTCCATCTGTATTTCCGTGTTGGTGTCAGATCACTGTCCATGTTTTCTCCCTCGTACCAGTACTGCCTTGTTAGCTTTTAGGTGTTTTTCAGCCAACCTAATCATGCTTTCACATAAAGTATTCCATGTTCTGAAGGTGTCTGTTTTGCTGTTGTTCTTTCCAGTCAGAAACCCTTACACGGGACATAAATACCTCTGTGGAGCTTTGCAGTCTGGAATTGTTTTACTTCAATGGTATGAGCCAATGCAGAAATTCATGTTGATAAAGGTATATATTACCTTGTTTACATTTTTCTTCTTTAGAAAATGCTAGTTTATAACTGAAAGAAAGTTATGCAATTGTATTACTACTATTTAGTGTCAACACACAGTTATTAGTAATTGTTTGGCTTTAGAATTTTGTGCTCTTATTAAGATTCCTCTTTAACTGATCCTACTTAGTAAACTTCTAGAACCACAGAATAAACTAACTGCTACCATAGATAGTGATAAAGCCAGTTCCCTTGTAGAGAACATTTATATTACCATCTCACCATTAGGCCTTTATAGAGTTCCATGGAAATGGAAGCCTTTCTGTAGACTTTATTCAACAACAGTATGATTGAGGAGGTTGTTTCTGAATTATAGTTCTGTTTATTTTTTGCAGCACTTTGATTTTCCTTTGCCGACTCCTTTGAACGTTTTTGAAATGCTGGTGATACCAGAACAAGAATACCCCATGGTTTGTGTAGCTATTAGTAAAGGCACTGAAGCAAATCAAGTAGTTCAATTTGAGACAATCAATTTGAATTCTGCATCTTCATGGTTTACAGAAATTGGTGCAGGTAAGTTTGTCTTACCTGTTTCAAATATTGATATCTACAAAAGAACCAAAACACTTAAATTCAACCAGTGTGGGCTCTTCTAACAAGCATAATTTCCCAAGTAAGCCTGAATCATGTACATGTAGTTTGTGATCTCTTTGTTTGCCAGAGAAAATTTGATACAGATTATTTTACCAAAGAAAATTTTAATGATCCTTGACATTTAAAGGTCTGAATTGTTACCAGCTTTGTCTTTGGACAAAATAATTACATTTTCTAAGACTTTTTCAGAATTTTATCAACTTCTGAAAGTTACCTTTTTCCTCTATCCTGTTTTAAACCATCTTTTCCACATCCATCACATCTTACAATCGCAATTTGCTTTTTTGTACTAGAATAGAAGTTTCTGAGGTTTGGTCTTTAAGATTTTCCATATAAGTATCCATTGTATTTTTTAAGAGTGATTTTATTAGCCTAGAAGATTATCAAATATGTCTTTGTGAAGACGCTAAAAAATTGGAATCTTTAATCTCAAATATTACAATTTGAACAAATAAAAATTTATTTTTAATGAAAAAATGTTCAATGTCACTAGTCATCAGAGAAATGCAAATCAAAACTACAGTGAGATGTCATCTCTGTATTTAGGATGATTGTTATCATCCTATTTACATTCCTACTGCTGGTAGGAATGTAAGTTAAGATAGCCCTTATGGAAAACAGGATGGAAGTTTTTTAAACTCTAGTTGAGCTGCCACATGATCTGACTGCAGTCTTTACTAATGGCTTTATGTCCACATGAGATGAAGTCAGTATGTTGACGTGATAACCCACACGCACATTTGTTGTTTATTACCCACAATACCCAAGTTATAGAATCAACCTAGATATCTATCAGCAGATGAGTGGATAAGGAAAAAGGGGAATATTTGTACAATAGTCTGTTACTCAGTCACAGAAAGAGTGAAATTCATGTTTGACAACAGAGATAAAAACTGGAGTTCCTTACGTGAGGTGAAATAAGTCAGGCGTATAGAAGCAGATGTGTTTTTGCTTATAAAAGCTGAAAAGTTGGTCTGATGGAAGGAGAGGATAGAATTCCAGTTTCTAGAGGCCGGCAAGTGTGTGGAGAAAAAAGGATGGAGAAATAGATGATAGATACAGAAGTGTAGTTGGATAGAAGGAATAATTTACATTGCTCTAAAGCACAGTATGGAAACTGGTTAAAATCTCATTTCACAAATGTGTGAAATGGGAAAGCATCTTCATTTTCTGTTCGTTGCTTTGGTGTATCTTTATCATTTGTAATCCCGGGTTTATTAGGCAATTTTGCATAGGAAGTCAAGCAACTGTGTGACCATTTTATTACTGACCACTGTTTTATGTTCTTTAGCATCTTGTAAAGAAGTCTGTTACAAGCGTTAGAAGTTTGGTGCTTCCTATTCAAGATCATTTGGCTTTTCAGAACTTGCTGTATATCCCAACTATTAAATCTAATGTAGAACCCACATAAATCAGTATGGGGGCTGGCGATACAGCTTAGTGATAAAGTATGTACATAGCATGGACAAGGCCCTGAGTTTGATTCCCAACACCATGTGGAAAAAGGAATCAGTATGAACCAGTGATAAATATTTCACAGCTGAGTCTTTGGGTGTAACCATTTGTTGCGGTTGCCTGTTTCTGTGATACAAACAATACCATCATGGCCAGTTTCAAACTACCAACTTGATGTCATATGATTCAAAAAGTTCCTGAAATTTGAACAACCCAGTACTGTACAAACCAGCTCCATCATGCACCAAACACACACTCACTCTCTCCCTCCATCCCTCCCGCCTTCTCTCCCCTTTCTCCCTACCTCCCTCCCTCTCTCTGTCTCTCTCTCACTCTGTGAAACAAGTGATAATTAGGGTAAGATAAGAACCTTCCCACTTGCACCCACACCCCATCTTTTTCTATAATTTGCTGTGGAATTGGCCTGGGTTGAGCTGAATGTGTGCCTTCATCCTATAGCTAATAGAAAAGTATAAAATGGCTTTCTTTATCATCATGAGAAATAGTCTCTGGAAATACTCTTTGTTAATGAACTTTGTACTAAAAATTAAAAGAAGCCAGGAGCAATGGTATATACTTGTAAACTCAGCTGCTTGGGAGGCTGAGGCAAGGGGATTGCAATTCGAGGGCAACCAGAGCAACACAGCGAGTGTCTGCCTCAAGAGGAAAAATAAAAAGAGCTGGGGATGTAGCTCAGTGGTAGAGCACCGTGTTCAGTTATTACCACAAAATAATAATAGTAATAACAATGGAAAAGGCGGTAATAAGAAATAAATAAATAACACCAAAATCATTTTTAGCCAGCAGCCCCAACTTTATTTTGCTGATTGTGTAGGATAAAATGGCTTATTTCATATAATCCTGTAATGTGTATTTGCAACCATTTTCTTCTCATATTAGGTTACCTTTGCTCACAACTAAACATTCTTTGAGTCCTGAGAATTTTGGGGTTTGAGTTGAGGAAGTGGTGGCTTTTTATTATTTTGTAATGTCTGAGGTCTCCTGTTTTACCCGCTTTTAACATTGTTGAGATTAAAATTGAAGCAGCAAAGCCTGCTTCCTGAGAAGGGTCAGGGGCTGCCTGAGGGTATCACTCAAAAGCACCCTCGTGCAGAGGAGAGGCAGTCTTTCTATTCCAGCACTTAATCATTAGTAGATTCTCCCATCTTTACAAGTGATTTTAAACCAGGTAAAACCTATACCTTCACATTTTGTTAAAGTGAGCTCTTAAAAACCCCTTTAGTCTCAGTCTTTTTTTTTTTTTTTTTTTGTCTTTTTCGTTTTTATTGGTACCAGGGATCGAACTCACAACTGCCTGCTTGCAAGGCAGGCGCTTATGCCGCTGAGCTAAATCCCCAGCCCCTAGTCTCAGTCTTACTGTTACAACATTTTCAAGGATGATTCTTATCTGAATGAATACAGATGAGCTGAGAAAAATTATTTTGGATGTGTTGCCAGAGAGAAAGTTTATTGACTATGTAAATCTGGATTCTTCGCTATGTATCACCTTTTTGAAGTTCCATAAAGACCCCAAAACGTGTAAGATGTCATGTCTGTGAATGTGGCAGTTTTCAAGAGAAGTGACTCATGGACTCCAGAGAGGCATGAAAATGACTGCTCGTGTTTAAAATCTTATCCCAGATTGAGCTAGAAACAATTTAACCAGTTTTAGTGCTCAAAATAAATTGTTTTACAAAAAATGTTTACAAAAATCTCACCCTATCTATTAGCGGATGTTAAGACACAGCCCTCAACTATGGCAAAGTAAAAAGAGTTGCATTCTGCAAGGCGTTGTTGTCAGTATGCTCCCCAGGCTGCGCCATGTCCCTGTGCTGGAGCTCCTCCCACACACCTACACATGCACGTTGACACCTGGATGATGACAGTCACACGAATCTGCGGGCTCGTTTGAAGCACTGGCTTGCTTTTATTTCAGGGATGCTACGCGTCACCTCTGATCATGTTTCCATCTCCCACTGGCTGTGTAAAGTGCAGAGCCAGATCTGCTTGGCCCCCCATATTTGCTTTTTGCTTCATTTTATTTTTGTAACTCATTTTTCTAGAACTAACTGAGCTGTTAATAAAAAGTACTGCTTTAGGTTTTCTCAGCTCATTTATCCATGTTAGGACCTAAATTTGTTTCCCCTTAACTAATTTTTAGGCACTTTCTGAAAGGTAACATATGACAAAATATGATTTCTGGGTTATATTTCCAAAACCAAATCACAGCAAAATTCAGACTTTGTGTTTATTTTTGCACTTGTTTGTTAAAAGTATATTGTGTTAACTAACTTTTTCTCCCCCTTAAGGCAGCCAACAGTTAGATTCCATTCACGTAACACAGTTGGAGCGTGATACCGTTTTAGTGTGTTTAGACAGTAAGTATTATGTTAATTTTCAGTGTACTACTTGATAAAATGATTCTTTTAATGTAGTTAATTCTATGAAACTAGAATTCAAGAGTCTTATTTCTCTATTTTAACTACTTGGTTTTATTAAAGAAAACATGAAATTGGCTATTAGTAATTAAGCTGGTACTGTCCCTGTCACCTTTTTCTTTATATGTGGCCTACTTGGAGACATTAGAACAGAACTGTTTGCCATGTCTTGGGGTAATATTTGTGTAGACTATTCTCTCTCATACCTAAGTACAACTAATGAAAAATAAGAGATCACAGTCCCATCAAAGCCACAGCACATGAACCTTTAAAGTCTCATCAGACTGCATTTCTAATGTTATTTATGGATTTAACACCTGTACTGCTAACTGTGATTCTTTGTTACTGGGAATGCATATTGACAGAAATATATTATGCTGTGAGCAGTTAGACAAAAACTTTAGGAGCAGATACTATTTTGATTGTGCAAATGAATCACTCTAGTTCGTAAAATCCATCTACCTTCACTCCATAAATCCTACAAAATGGAATCCCCCCAGATGGATTATATTTGAAACTTGGTAGTATTTGCTATAATTGGTCCATTTCAGTTTGTTTTTAATGACTAAACCTACCTTTAAGTGAAAAAGCTTATTTTAAAAATTGTTCCACTACTAATTTTGTATATTTTTTTCTGCCCTGTCTCTGTTCTCTGAAGATGTTCACTGTATTTTATAGAATCATAAAGATTGTTTAATATTATAGATAGGTAAAGTAAACCCCACCTATTTCCTTTCACTATCATCCCTTTGTTAGGAGCTTGATTTGCTGAATACTGTATTATTAAGACTGGAGCATTACTCAGTCATCCTCAAGAGAAGCTGTCAGTCCTTTTTGATCCAAACAAATAGAAAATTTGGTATTAACCAAATAATCAAATTTAATAACGCTGAACTTTTAACATTAAATCCCCAAAGAGTCATCAAAGGAAGATAAATTGTGCTTAGTTTTCATTTTGATAATAACTGTATAATTTTATCACCATTTTTTTTTATCAGTACCAGGGATCGAACTCACAACCATGCACTTGCAAGGCAGGCACTTATGCCACTGAGCTAAACCCCCAGCCCCATTTATCACCATTTTTAAAAGTCACTGATAACCTGGACACAGTGACAAATGCCTATAATCCCAGCACTGTAGAAGACTGCGCAAGATCTCATCTCAAAAAAAAATATTTTTCAAAGGGCTTGGGATATAGCTCAGTACAAAGACCCCAAGTTCAATCCCTAGTGGCAAGGGATGATTAAAAAGGCTCTACCAGGGCCAAAGATACAGCTCAACAACATGAGCAAGCTGCCTGGCAAAAGCAGGTCATGAGTTCAGTTTCCAATACCAAAATAAAAAAAGCTCTACTAATTAATTAATTCCTAATTAATTGAAGAAAACTAGAAACTGATGTTCCTGAGATTTCTGTTTTTTTTAAAGTTAGAAGACTTCAAAAATTCGTTGTCATAAGTTGATTTATTGGACTGTACTGGGCCTATGATCTTAAATCATAGTAATAGACATACCGACATAACTCTTCCAACTCGGAGTGAAAGAGGATGAAATTAAAAACAAATGGACAAAAGAGAAGTCGAATTATTTTATATGCTCCCCACTCCAGAGTTTACAACCCTGAAGAGTACTGTTTCTTGCTCCTGTGTACCTGCAGAATAGAACTCATGTAGTAAAGTTAGGATTACTGTAAATATAGCATATGTTGTCTAATTTGTAAGGGGAAAAAACATTGCTAAATGAGCATGGAAATAGCCACTTTTAAAGAAATAGTCTAAATTTTTAAAAGATGAGAATGTTACTATTCACTCTATACTATGTAAAAAAAAAACAGAATTATCAAGGAGGAATTCTTGTAGTATCTCTTTTAAAACATACTAAGGAGACTTCACTGGTTACATTTAGGTAAATCATTGAACTTTATTAGTAATATCATTTGATGTTTAAGATTCATGTATCAGGTTATATTTGTTTTAGGAAATGTATATTTCTAATTTTAACTTCAGTTTTTAACTTTTTTTAAGAATATGTAAAAATTGTAAATCTACAAGGAAAACTAAAATCAAGCAAGAAACTGGCCTCTGAGCTAAGTTTTGATTTTCGCATTGAATCTGTAGGTAAGTCCCCTATTTTCATTACTGAGTTTGGGGTAGTTGGGGCTCTTTTGTTTATTTGTTCATGGTTAGGGTCGTCTAAACCAACAGTATCTCCTAGAAGTTTCTGTGATAATAGAATGTTATTTTTCTCTGTCCTTATATATAGTAGTCATTAAGCACATGAAACTGATAAGCACTTGAAACACGATTAGTGTTAGGAATTACTTTTTAATGTTTTAATTAATTTAACTTTCAATATAAATAGCTACATGTAGCTAATTTCTACTATATTGGATAGAGCAGATCTAGACCATATTATTTCCTGAATATTTAAAACTTGTTAGTATTTTTAAGTGTTCTATTCATTATTCCCATTGCTGTATCAAGTAAATTATACTTCTCCCAAGTCTTCTCAAATCATGAAGGTATTTGTGTGATACCAGTGTCAGTATGCTATAATTCTTTGCCATGTTAGATTCTGGTTGGTGTGTTGAAGGTTATTGCTTTTGGGCCTGTTTACATATACATAGGTTTCCCATCAGATTTATTTATTTTTCTAAGGTGAAAACTAGTTTTTAAATTAAGTTTATTGGTACATTTTAGATACACCTAGTGATCATGTACATCATAGGGGATTTGTATTCATACATGATACATTTTGACTTAGAAACTCGTATCATGTTAATTTGCTTCCATTTCAACGAATGTTTTACTAATATTCATTGATTTCATGACAAAAGTAATAATTTATCATTATTTGCATCCTCCTTAATTATATATCAGTAAGTGTTTTCCCCAGCACTGATAGAACTTAGGAGAAAAATATTATGGCTACAAACTTTTGAGGTATTGGGAATTGAACCCAGGACCTCACACAGTGCTCCACTACTGAGCTACATCCCCAACTCTTTTTTTTTTTAATTTATTTTAATTCTTGAGACAGTATCTCACTGAGTTGTCCTAACTGCCTCACACTTGAAGCTTTGTGGCTGGAACCACTGGCAGGTGCCACCACAGCCAGCACTGCAGATATCTGGTTCATGTCAGCCAGAGATCAAAGGAAGAAGTTAAAGCTGGCAGTTTCCATTTAGTGTGTTTTATAATTACATGCGTATACTTTTAAAAATGTTTTTCATTTTTAAAATACTCTTGTCAAACTGGAGTTTTCCTCTGTCACAAAATATAAGGAGCCAAGGGTGTACCTCAGTGATAGAGTTCATAAAACCTTAATACCTAGCACCAAGAAAACAACAAAATATGTTTGTGTTTTTGGAAGCATCTTTTTTTTTTTTTTTTTTTTTTTGTCTTTTTCCTTTGTATCGATACCGGGAATTGAACTCACGACTGCCTGCTTGCAAGGCAGGCGCTTATGCTGCTGAGCTAAATCCCCAGCCCCTTTTGGAAGCATCTTACAGAACTATAGTTTGCTTATGATTAGAAAACTTAATTTATAAACAGAAAACCTAAGCTTTCTGTAGATGCTGAAACAAAAGGAATTTTGGAGTTTCTAGTTTCTTTTACTCCTTTATGTATATTTTCAAAAGAGAGCCTGCCATATAGATCTTAGCCTTTATCATTCCAATTGAGCCATTTTCTGGTATCTCCACACATGTGGCAGATTATGTAGAAAGTTTTATTACAAAGTGTTCCTTCTAGGGTCCCGTCTCTTCTTGATAGTAAACACTGGAATGATCACGAGGATCCTGTTGGATCGAAGAGTTCCATTAAATCTTGTCTTAACAATAGAACCAGTAACTAGATACTTTATTTGTCACCATTAGTGAAACACATGTGATTTGTCAGTATGACAGTGAGATACTGTTCCTTTTATTGAGCTGAATTATGGTCCCAGAGCATTCTTGGACTTCTTTTATACTTTGTATTCCAGTTAGAAATAAAGTAATTTTCAGTCACTTTTCTCTGTTATCTGTACTTATGCTTACATTTTTCTAATTCTGTTTATCTCCAATATTTACATTATAATAATTAGTTAAATACTAAGACTTTTTTATAAAATGACTCAGACCATAAATAATCAATGTGTGATTAAATTTTGAATTACAGGCAGATTTATTTTTAAAAATTTGTTTTGGAAATACTGGAAAGTGTAAACATAAAAAGATTTTTGCTTAATAGCTACTTAACTAATCGTTTTTAATCCAAAAAGCACAACTGTATCTGTATTTATATTCACTTAAAACAAAAGATACAGCATGCAAAAGGGAAATTAATATGCAGATATCCAGCTTATCAGAAGTTAGTGTATTTAAATGAATGCCTGTTATATATGTATCTGAAAACTTGCATAATTCTGCCTCAATAAATTACTTGAATTTAGACACGTCTTAGCCACAAAAATGTTGAGAAATAATGGTCTAGACAGTGGAATTTTGCCCTAAGCACTTGAACAGCCTTAGGTTATTATTTGTTAAAAACAGTTAAGGGAAATTGATAGTGGAATGCCCTATGCTTTATTTTAGTTTCAGTTCTCCCTTATCTTTTTTAGTATGCCTTCAAGACAGTGTGCTGGCTTTCTGGAAACACGGAATGCAGGGTAAAAGCTTCAAGTCAGATGAGGTACGTTTCTGACCTCAAATTACCTTTCTCATACTCCCACTAAATAAAGATTCATTTTATGCATTTCCTCTCTGAACCTACGTTCCTGCTTTTAGAGCCTTTAATACTATGAACTGGTAGAGTAAAATATAAGTATTTTATCTTTAAATATGTATATTTTTATATTGTATTTTTAAATTCTCAGTGGCCCTAAGGAATTATAAAATAATTTTAAGTTTATGTAATTTTTTATCTAATTAGTAATTTATAACAATAGTTCCTGAACTTGCTCAATTTTTATGTTTAATGTGCATAATGTATAAATATATAACTTTTTAAGTTTTTTTTTGTTTGGTTGGTTTTTTTTCCTTTTTATTGGTACTGGGGATTGAACTCACAACTGCCTACTTGCAAGGCAGGCGCTTATGCCGCTGAACTAAATCCCCAGCCCCTACTATTTAAGTATTTTAAACTATAAGTTAATATATAGTAAGTCATAGGACTAAAAATCTAAGAAAATTAACTTACTAGGAAGTATCAGCTGCAAAGACACTTGTTGTAGGGGCTAGGGATTTAGCTCAGCAGCATAAGTGCCTGCAAAAAAAGAAAAAGACAAAGAAAAAAAAAGACACTTGTTGTAAATAATGTATAATGCCTGTTATGTTCCAGGCATTTTACAAATATTAACTCTCATCTTTCACTATTTGTATTGCTTATACAGATTAATGGATTTTATTTTGGCAGATTCATACAAGAACATATTTCTGATCATTTTTACCTCTCCCCCCAATTTCATATATGTTAGAGGATTTCATTGCATATATTTTGCTTATATCTATCTTACCCACTACCTGTCCTTACACTCTTCTCCTATTCCCTTTCTCTCAACTAAATGTTAATTCATATGTGGCCCAAAATAATCCATGGAATAAATATTATTTCTAAGTATAGAGTGCTTAAGTAACATGTCCAGAGTCACATAAGTAGTTAAGTGGCAGAGCCTAGATTTGAAAGATCTCCAGAAATTACTTCTGAGATAATTTGGATACATTTCATGCAGGAGAAGCAGTTTGGATTCCTATCTGGGAAATTAATCCTGCTTTAATAAAGATGTTTTTCATTTGTGTGATTTTCTAAATTATAACCTCATCAATTCATGGGCTTACATTAAAGTTCAGAATCATCTTCTATTTGAATTTACCTTTTATTTTATCCATACTCAATTCATATCTAAGTATTTCCACCTCTTATATGTATGGAGAATTAGAATGCTTCCAGGAAAAAATAATATAAACTGTCTTTTTATTTTAGTTCAGCTAGTTACTGACCTCTACTGACCTTTATGTTACTGACACGAAATGTCACCAGGTCCCTGCATTCAATAAAATCTATACTGCTACTTACCTGCTATAAGACTGTCCTTAAACGCTATCTCATTACTTCATTCCTGTGGTTAGAAATCTAAACAAAACCTGTTTCTCACCATGTCAGATACAAAGTCTGATTTCCTAACCGTCTATTTGTGCATGTGTGTGCTCATGAGTGTATGTGTGTGTGTGTGTGTGTGTGTGTGTGTGTGTGTGGTGCTGGGGACTGAACCTAGGGCCTCCCCTCCCAGGTGCTAGTCAAGTGGGGCTACCACTGAGCTACACCCTTTGCCCCCAGCTGCCTACTTTTATTATATCTTGCTTCTGTTTATGTTCTCTTCCTTCAACTTGGGCCTGCCTGAAGCCTTAACCTCCTTTGTAAGTAACAGCCAACCACTCAGGTCTACAATGATCAGAGCATTTCTGAATTTATACTTTGAAAATTAGCCCTGTGTAATGTAGCACCTGACTTGCTTTCTGATTCACTTTCCCAGCTGAACTGCAAACTTTCTTTTTTTTTTTTTTTTTTTTTGTCTTTTTCCTTTTTATCGGTACCGGGGATCGAACTCACGACTGCCTGCTTGCAAGGCAGGCGCTTATGCTGCTTGAGCTAAATCCCCAGCCCCTGCAAACTCTTTCTTAACAGACTTTTTTTTTTTTGGTACTGAGGATCGAACTCATGACCTCTCACTTGCCAGACTGGCACTTAAGCCACTGAGCTAAATCCCTTGCCCTATAACAAGCTATTTTTATATTTATTTGATTTCTACATTTAGTTGGAGTTCTGCCAAAAGTAGACCCATGGTAAAGGACTCAGTTAATTTATTGGGGAATAGATTCCAGAACATAGTGATGGGATACAGAATATAAAAAGTCAATAAAAAGCCATTTCTCACTATGTATAGCCAGAGCTTAGTCCAAAAGGAACACCCAGGAATAATAGAGGAATTGACTCATTTGATAGTGGAGAAGTTGGAGCTACTGTCCTTCGTTAGGAGTTGCTCCCCACTTCTCCACGCTTTGCTGCCGTACTCATGTGTGGCTGAGGAGTAGAGCATCATAGTGTGCACTGATGTGCAAAGTAGTGCTGGGGAGTGTCCGCATAGCTGTACCGAGATAAGGAGGTAAGCCGAGGGTGCCTCCGCAGATGTCTGCGCTGAGAAATAAAGGGGAGAGCAGATCTTGGGGCTGCCAGTCACATGACTTGGAGCAAGTTACTTAACCTCTCTGATTCTTAGATTCTCCTTCAATAATAAGAGAAAGTGCCTGGACCATTCCAGACATCCCGAGAGTGTTGATTCATTTCTACTAATGGTCAACAGAAAAGCATTGAAATCTATTTCACTTGAGAAGTTGTCACTGTCAAAAATTGTACATTGTGTTTAGCAACTGCTCCATCTAAATAATTTTTAAATTCTTATTTAAGCAAGATGGGGGCTAAAGTGTTACTGATAAGTATTTTCTTTTATAGGTTACCCAGGAGATTTCTGATGAAACAAGAGTTTTCCGCTTATTAGGATCAGACAGGTAATAGTTTAGTTTTTTAATTTTCTAGAGAGTTCAGATTATACTCTCAATTATACTATAAGCCTGTATTTGTGTTCCAGTCAAAACTCTTAAAGGTTTTATTAACTTAGAAAAATGTTTCCATATCTGTTTTGAGAGGGTAATATAGTAAGTCTAAAAAAAAAAAAAAAGATTGTTTAGGTCATTGAGACCATTGTCTTTTTTTACTGGTCTACTTACTTGAGCATCTCCTTGTGTTTAAGACATACATATTAACCAAGTTTTTATTTTATCTTAACTTTAAACACGATTAAAAATTTTTTAACACAGGTGTTTATATAGGGAAACAGTTAAGTATATCAAAATATTAATAGTGATTTAACTGGTCAGTTGCATAATAGGTAATTTTATTTTTCCCTTCTGCTTTTCTGTACATAATATAATGAAAATATATGTATTTTATTGCTTTATTATTAAATGCTAAGTGCAGGGAATTCATACCCTAGAGAAATACAAAGTATATGTACAGTTTTACCTCCTAGCCCCCTCTAGATGTTCTTCTTTGCATATTTTTGTTTTGTTGATACCGAAAATTGAACTCATGACCACATGTTTGCCAAACAAGCACTGTGCCACTGAGCTATATCCCAGCCGCATGGATATATTATTTTTTATAGTGTTCTCTTGGCAATTAAAATTTGTGATATTGCACTTGGTTGTTATTTTTCCCTTTATCAGGCCTTTGATTTCTTCCCTGCCTTTGTTTCAGGGTTAAAGGAGAGAAGTCCCATTTCATAATTCTTTTAACTGTTCATTTTGGTTTTTTTGAGACAAATTCTCACCAGGTTGCTCATACTACTCTTGAATTCTTGCTCAAGTGATACTGCCCCTCAGCTGGGTGCGCACACCATGCTCGAGCTTTATGCTACTGCTAAAACATTTCAGTATTTTACAGGCATTCATTTTTACCCAGTTGTATTTTTAAACTATAAAATACAAACTAATTTGTGCATCTATGATCTTTTTGTAATCTTATCAGAATATGAGCAGTGCTGTTCCTTCTTGATAATATTTGAACATGAAATCTGGCTTTACTCTTAAAGGTTTTATTTTGATTTAATTACAGGGTTGTCGTTTTGGAAAGTAGGCCAACAGAAAATCCTACTGCACACAGCAATCTCTACATTTTGGCTGGACATGAAAATAGTTACTGAGCAACAGAAACTGATCTCAAATGACAAGAAAATGAATATAAACCTAATGAAAGCAAAAATACTTTAAGGAAACTCAATACAGACTGCACTATGAGTTGCTATAACTCTTACGGGTTATCTCTCAAGTGATCTGTACGTTAGGATAGGTTCCACTATTTGCTGTAGCTGGAAACAGCTAGTCTATCTCTTGCCACTGTGTGGTGGTTATATCAAGTTTGCTTAATAAAAGCTATGAGACGAATAGTCCTCTAGTTCCAAGAAACAGTCTTTTTTAAAAAATAATGTTTGTACCAAGGATGCCATGATATTTTTAGGTAATTCATGAGATAAATTCAATGACCATTTTATCATTTTTATATCTTGTCGTATTCCTTCTTAACATAATTTGATAAAGGAATTTTCAAACAAGCTTTCTCTTTTACATTGGCCATTCTGTGTGTTTTTGTAAAATAGAATATTTAATCCTTATTTATTAATCTCTTGCTGGAGTGGTGTAATGTATCTAACTTTTAGTAAAGGAAAGTTGCAGAGCAGCTTACATTTTTTTATAATGTGTAAAATTTTTGTTTACCTTTTCAGAGTAGTGCTTTAGGAATTAAAGGCTGTGTGTCCAGAGGGATTCACACATCCAGTTTCATTTAACAGAAGTACTTTATAATACAATTTCATGCAGAATTGCCTTAAAAGGGAGTTTTATGCTAAGGGGTCATACAGAGAATATTGATGATGGTTGAAAAATACCTTTAGACGTGGTGTCTGTGTCTTAAGTGTGACTACCGTGTGTATGTATTCTTGACAAACAGTATAATTACCTGTGATTTTTTTTTACATTAGGGATAATACATAAGAAATTAATCTTCATATATAATATTATCCCTAATGTAGGGAAGAAAAGTATTTAACTGCCCATGTTATATATTTTACTTATACTATTCAGAGGGGAAACTGTAAGCAGTTACACATGTAATCTTAGGGTTTTCACATATGTAGGTATTCATTCTGAGTATAAGAAAATTTTTAATGAAAGTGAATTCTGGTGGAAATAATATAAAATGCGTATTGTAAAAACCAGTATTCTAAAAATAAGAACGGACAGGGCCATTTTTCGTGTGTGTTTTTCTTTTGCTATTATTAGATCAAAATTAAAGTATTATGTTGGTACTTGTCTTAATGCATTTATTAATAACAGCATTGAGATGATAAACAATGGATTAGCAGAGCAAAAAAGAGGTTTCTTCTGACCAGTTGCTGAAAATAGTTTAACTGTCTCATTCAGTCTTCAGCAGTTCTGTAAAGTAACTGTTATCATCTCCAGTGTTCAGATGAGGAAACAAGGGTTCAGCCAGAGTGAGCCACATAGCTAATCCCACAGCAGGTGAGGGTTTGACCCAGACCATGAGTCTTCTGACTCTGTTCCTTTCACCGTGAAATATGCAAGCAATAAAATGTTCCACAAATGAAACATAAAGTGCTCTTTCTTTAAACCGTATATATGCTATGATAACAGTGTGTGGTGGTTTCCTTGCGATGTGTTAAATGGACCTTGTAGACCGAGGGACACTGGATACAGTGTGTGGCAGAGGGTACACCCTCAAAATAGGGGGAATTTACATGGTGGATGCAAGACCAGCAGCCTTTGCTCACAGGACCCGGGCAGTCATCCTAACAGAGAACTAGAAGACTCTTCTCGGTGAAACCTTTATAGCCAGTGCAAGAAAAGACCCACTTAAGATTCTGCCCTCAAGGGCTGGGGATGTGGCTCAGTGGTAGAATTTTTGCCTTGCATGCATGAAGCCCTGGGTTCAATCCCCAGCACCAAAGGGGGTTGGGAGTGGAGATTGAACTGCGGGTGTTAGAGGGCTGAGATGGGATTAAAAGAAAGAAAGAAAAAAGGAGATGAGGAAAAATTGTATTATTAAGATATCAGAGGCATCCTGGCTAAACTGCCCGGCTCGATAACACTACAGTGAAAATCAGCATAGCTGGTCTGCTCAGCACACATCCAGAGCTTGCAGTCTTTTAGTCCTGTGCTATTAAAGATGGGCCAATAACCAAGAGCTGTAAAAGCTCTCAGAGGAGACAGACGAGCAAGGTAAGGAAAATATCTTCAGGACGATACTGCAATCATGAATCAAGAACAGAGTATCTCTCTCTCTCTGTCTCTCTCTGTCTCTGTGTGTCTCTCTGTCTCTGTCTCTCTCTCTCTCTGTCTCTCTGTTTGTCTATTGGGGGCTGAACCCAGGAGCACTGCATACATTAAACTGTATCTTTTTTAATCTTGAGACAAGGTCTTGCTAAATTTTCTGGGCTGTCCTTAAACTTGTGATCCTCCTGCCTCAGCCTTTCAGATACCTAAGATTTACAGGCATGTGCCACCACCCTAGCAAAAACAATAAGAGCTTTTAGAAAACAAAACGTCTTAGAAAAGAATATAAATAATTCAGTCCAAAGGTTTGGAAGTTGAAGAAATATCTCAGAAAAATAAGACTTTTCTAGTAATAAAGAACGTCAGATTCACCAAATCACATCATCGTGAAAGTTCAAGGACACTGAGCAAAGAGAACAAGGGTAGAGCCCAGTAGCGAGAAACAGGAATCAGGGTATCTTCACATTTCAGCAGAAGCAGTGTCTTCATACTTCTCAGGAATTTCAGACCTAGAATTCTGTCATCTGAAGATGAGGGTAAAATGAAGAATTTCTGTCATATGAAGTCTCAAAAAAGTGTGTGTCACTTTTAATTTCTCAAGAAGCTACAAGAGGCTGTGCTTTCAAAAGTACAGGAATGAGCCAAGAAAGATGAAGATGTGGGATTCGATGCAAATTAGAGATGAAGGAAAACTAGACATTGACTGTACACCAGGGATAGAGAATGTACCAGTGCATTAGAAACCCTGGAGATACATTTTTAGGAAGTCAAATAAAATACCTGAGTATATTAGTATCTTAATTTGACAACCAATAGAAAGACTCCTCCTAAATCAAAGCCTGAGACAAATGTGGGGTTAATTTGTTTTAGAGATTCCAGGAAATAGAGTGAAGTACTTGTGATACTCAGGTGGAAAGGAAAGGGAGAAAGTCAATATTAAGAATCCATTCCTGAGGTCATTGCTTTGTAAACAGTTGAAGTTTGATTCCAGAGTCCTCTAAGAAGCTGTGCGTGCTCACCCCGAGGGTTGTCTCCAGAAAGACTCCAGGGACTCAAGTACTTATCTGCAGACTCACTCCTGACTGCTAGAATTGTTGCCAAGGGCATTATCTCTTGAATATGGGCCAAGTGGGTGCAGACCGGCAGAGAAGGCCCCGAGGCCAAAAGCTGACACAGTGGGTCAGCCCCGTGAACTGCCCACTGCCTCTGACTGAGCAGAGGTGGACGGAGATGTTTTGCAAGACCCAGGGTTCAACCACTGATGATTTAAAACAAATCTGAAATTCAAGTCAAATGCAAATGATGAGCTCCAGGAAAGCACAATGTGCAGAAATGAAAAAGTAACCACAATCCGTGACTGAATAACAATAATGTGAAGGATAAATGTAATACAGTTGCAGCATAATTATATTGAGAGATCATGTATTGTGTACTTCAGATTGAAAGTTACCTGAATCTGACACTGATTCTAAAATTACGTAAACGCAAGGACCAGGAATAGTCATGACAGTCTTGAAGAAAAATCTCAGAGTCAGGCTACTAGATTTCAAGAATTATTACAATGCCATGGCAGTAAAGACGGTATGACATTTATATAAAAAATAGGCAAATCAGTGACATAGAATTAAGAGTTCAAAAACAGACCAATACTTAGTCACCTCAAGGGTGATTAAGGTGCCCTGCACTGAACGAGAGAGAGTCTTGTTAATATATTGAACTGAAAAAGCTGGGCACGTGGTGCACACATGTGGGAAGCTGAGGCAGGAGGATTACTGTGAGTTCAAGGCCAGCCCAATCTATACAGTGAGACCCTATCTCAAATTATCAAAAACAATAGAAAAATTAATTTTATCTCGTGAAAAAAAATGCTAGGTGGAATGTAAATTTCAAATACAAAACACTTAAAAGAAAAATCTTAATGAATTTAGTGTGTACAAAGATTTCTTAAGACATTAAGCTTTTTCTATAAATAAAAAAAGATGATATTGTGAACTTCATTAAAATTAAGATTCTGTATTCACCCAAAAATGTTTTCAAGAATGAAAATACAAGCACATAAAGGGAAAAGAATTGTGTTACATACATTTTGTTTAAAAAAGCTACATGGAAGGTGTAAAAACTGCAGATCACCCAGACTGAGGCAGGAAGATCACTGTGAGTTCAGTGCCACTCTGTACACCTAATGGAGCTGTCTCAACTACAAATCACTTGTTTTTTAAAATGCAAGCAAAAGCTGCATACGTCTACCCTACAATGTAACAACTCCAATTGTAGATCTACAGGCACAAGACAGGTCACCAAAAATCATACAGAACCATTCATACTTGCCAAAATTGGACACAACTCAACCATCAATGCTAGAAAGAGTAAGTAGCTTCTATACCCTCACTACCTACGATCCTGCAGAATATTCAGAAAGGATGATAAGAATTTCAGTCCCCAGAAGTGTCACATCCTGTGTAAAGACTCAAGGCATTAAAAGTACACAGTTTCTTTTATATTAATTCAAAACCTGTAGTGTTGGAAATCAGGATAGTGATCATCTCTGAAGAGGACTGAATTGGTCATAAAGAGATGCTTTATGGGGCTGGGAATGTTCCATTCCTTCTTGTTTTGTCATAGAAGCTGTATACTCATGATTTATGCCTTTGCTTCAATAAAAAAAACTTATTAAAAAGAATGTCAAGGATGCACTGGTGGAAATTTTTAATTTTGATGTTAATTTTATGGTGTAAACATGGGTTTCCTGTTTCTTAAAAAATTAGTCTTGAGGGGCTGGGGATTTGGCTTAGCAGCATAAGCGCCTGCCTTGCAAGTGTGCGGTCATGAGTTTGATCCCTGGTACCGATAAAAGTGAAAAAGACAAAAAAAAATTAGTCTTTATCACATTCATTACCTTGCCCAAAGATTGGGTTCTCCAGAAGCTGAGATGCGATTAGAAGTGTGAGTGATGTATTTGGAGAAAACACCTGTGTGAAAAGTAAAAGGGGTGATGAGCAGGAGAAAGTGGGAGACTCCTGAGATCTGACTCCTGTGAAACACTTGAGGAGGAGGAGGAGGAGGAGGAGGAGGAGGAGGAGGAGGAGGAGGAGGAGGGTTTAACAGGAAAGCCCGGGTTGCAGCTCTAACATCTTGACCAGTCTGTGAGGCGCTGGGAGCAAAGACAGCTAATTGGAGGATTCCTGTGGTGACAGAATGGACTCTCACATCCTGGGAGCAGCCTAGGGGAGCGTGGCAGTGCCCAGGCGTGTTCTGAAGGGAACTGATTTTCTGTAGCATGTTCTTGAAGGGAGAAAGGAGTGGCACGCATCCACAGCCATCACACGTTCAGGTCATTGGAAAGTTGAGATACATCCAAGGTCTACTTGTCTAAATCCAGATAGTCCTGGGGCTGGAGATTTAGCTCAGCGGCATAAGTGCCTGCTTGGCAAATGTGAGGTCGTGAGTTTAATCCCCAGTACTAAAAAAACAAACAAACAAACAAAAACAGTGCCTTTATGACTGTTTAAAGAGTCAACCTGTCAAATACACATTAAATAAAGTCATTAAGCTAGTCCATATCACTAAGGGAAACTATTTGGAAATACAAAGGTGGAAATAAAAGCCATTCCCGGTAGAGTAAGTTGTATCAAAAATAAACAATTGAGAACCAAGCTACCATTTGGGTTCTTGGGTTAATCTCCGTTGTAATTGATGGAGAAAAGCCAAAAGCACTAGCTCAGAGACGATGCTGCAACAGGAGCCATGGTGTAGTTCCTTCAGGCCCTCAGAAAGAACCTAGTCCAAGATGCCCGCATTGGCCTTTTGTGCAAAAAGATTCCCAGAACAGAACGCTCGGGCCAGCTCTGAGTGGTACCCTTGGTTGTGGAGGGTGAAGCTTCTTGAAGGATAAATCTACCAAAGCATATTCCTACAAAGAAGGGAATGGATGTTGGGGGCTTTTAACAGGAGAAAAGGACACCAAGGTGATCAGCAGCAGATGAACTACATAGCTACAAACCACCACTGGGAGAAGCTTTGAGACACAAAACCACCGACAACATTGCGTGGTATAGTTTATTTAATCATGATAGCCACGCATCTCCTTCCTCGATAACTATGAATGTAAGATCTAGCATACTTTAAGTATGACACATAACTCAGAGCATATGACTTCATTCCCATCAGGTTTCACAAATCTAAATCTTCCTGGGTTTGTCACTTCCCTGGATGACTTTAGGATGACTAAAGGACATGAGAGAACCTGCCGGGCCTTCCCCGCCGTGTGACGTGAGTGCCTCAGAAGGCACTGACTGTCAAGCTGCTAAGTAGATAAATATTTC